TTATAATATGATGGATGATGTAATTGAAAATTGAAAGAGGGCCATGAGTGACTACCGGCCCTTTTGGCCCCAAAATATCTTCGGGACACACTTGAGCCTGACCTGAGCATCGCTGTCCGGAGGAGGGAAATCAAGATCCATGCAAGTTACGGTCGATCAAGCTAAGTGTCGATGATCCCTTTCGGTTAGGATTTGTGAGTCATGAAATGGTAAGTTGAATCCTCGGTTGTTTCACTATCATCGAGAGCTTCGTGGTCTGGTGTCTTAGATTTCAGTGTTGAAGATGAATTTGCTGATTGTTTGTGTCAAAGGAAAGAATTCCCAACAGCGTTGATTGTGGAACTGCCACAATTCCTCCACGACTTGGTCATCAAGTCAAATCATTTCCTTCCAAGAATACACCTACAATTCCTCCACGACTTGGTCCTCAAGACAGATCATTCTCTAGAGATTGCATCCCACACAATCACGTCTCTTGTAAGCCTAGTGCTTAGTCTATATATTCACTGTGTTGTATAGCAAACGTGTGTATAATAGATATTCTCTTGAAATATACAAAAAATACAAGGAACGATGTGCTTGAATCTTCTTCTTCTATTCAGCCCTCTTTTACCATTTTAATATGGTATCAGAGCTGACCACTGTGAAAGTAAACACAGCCTCTTGATATTGTCTTCTTCTTCTTCTTCTTTTTCCTTTTTTTTTCTGAAGTCTCCATGGAAGATTCATCAACCACAGCTTGTGAACCAGTCGCAGCCTCTGAATTAGCTGTTGCATCCTTACCAATCATGACAATTCCACAATCTCAAAATTCATTATCTACTTCAGGCAATCAGTCCCACACCATTACCCTTCCAGCCATTGGAGTAAATCTTAATGGTGATAACTATGTTGTATGGAAAGCAAGGCTGCTTCCACTTCTCCGGGCAAACAAACTTCTACTCATTGTTGAAGGTACCTCTCTTTGTCCTCCAACTCATATCACACAAACAAGTGCAGATGGAACTGCTATAATTGTTCTGAATCCTGCCTATGAAGAATTGTCAACACGTGATCAAGTGGCCCTCGCATGGATTCTTAACACCTCAGTTGACGCAATTGTCGAACAGCTCTCAACATTCACCTCTTCAACAGACGCATGGCAATTCAAGCCACATCCTATGCAGCACGAAATCATGCCCGAGCAGCTCAACTTCGGATGCAGCGGCAAACTTCATTAGAGTCGTAATTTAGTGACGATCTATGTAGTGTGTAATCGTGGAGTTTCGAGGGACCAAATTGTAAGTTTTCTTATCAAATTCTCTGCTCAACGGAAAAAATGTAAATTTGTAGAACTTTTTAAGAGAATTATTTTTCATGTGCTTATATAAATTAAAAATAAATTTTAATAACACCTTGTGTAAAAAGTCATCAATCCGATTGGTTGGTTTGGCATCACTAATTCTATTAGTCACCATCATGGGCCCTCCCCTTTTAAAACGAAATTAAGATTTTTAGGACAAATTAATTTTTTTTTTCTCAACAAACAAGTATGGGAGAGAAGACCCTTTTCATTTCTATAAAAAAAATATAGAGAAGACAAGCAACTCGGTTTTATTTGAAGTATAAAATTCTATTCAAAACTGATCTTGCCACCCGCTAGACAAAGTTTGGTATATCTTAACATTTTAATAATGGGGACCTAGTTGATTGATGTTATGTCATAAACAATTGCTAACGATGGCTTTTGACCAACTTAAACCTTATCGCTAATCCTAATCATTGTCAGTGCTCATGAGAGGTCGAATGACCTACTAGCCTCTGATTTTTCGTATGGAAATGAAATATTATAATGATAATCGAGTAGGTATAAGCTAAAATGCACGTACATAAAGTATAAACCCACCCTCCGGTGGTTGACAAGACGGCGAATAGCAATGAAATGAACCCATCAAGTTCACATGTCAATTCACATGCATCGTTCGATGGAATGAGACTCACGCAAGACCATTCTAATATAATGAATGATGTAATTGAAAATTGAAAGAGGGCCATGAGTGACTATTGGGCCTTTTGGCCCCAAAATATCTTCGGGACACACTTGTGCCCGACTTGAGCATCGCTGTCTGGACGAGGGAAATCAAGATCCATGCAAGTTACAGTCGATCAAGCTAAGTGTCGATGATCTCTTTCGGTTAGGATTCGTGGGTCATGAAATGGTAAGTTGAATCCTCGATTGTTTCACCGCCTTCGAGAGCTTCGTGGTCTGGTGTCTTAGATTTTAGTGTTGAAGATGAATTTGCTGATTGTTTGAACATCTAAAACGTGATTCACACAGCTTTTCCTGACTGTGTTAATGGAATTCAAAACGTTTGAGGTTTTCTTTGTCCCTCGGAGACTTCACTCGTCATGCATTAGGTTACTGCACTGGGTTTTCTCGATGTGAACTCCAGCATGGAATCTGCATTTTGGTACCTTACTGTGATTTCTCTGTTATAGTTTTTCTAGCATGAATTCTGTTGTTCAGCTCAACATCGTTCACAATTTGAGATGGCGAAATTGCCGACTGACCGTGCTAAAATTGCAACCCTCTGTTTCGTTTAGTAATCTTTGCAATTCCTGCAATTTTGCATCATCAGTAGTTTAGACAAACTTGTGTCATCAATGCCGGTAACATTAACTATCGAATCCTATTTAAGTATGCGAAGTGTTAGATCCATAGCTGATTATCTTTGGCATCTTCAATCACAGTGCACGTCTGAATGTGTAAGTTGCTAGTTGTGCTGTCTCCATGGAAAATTTGAGCTCGATAAGCTTTATGAGAAGTAGTCGATACATGATCTTGGATAGATATATTGTTTAGGAAACTCAATAATCTTACTTTCGTGAAGAAATAAATGTAATGTTTAGGAAATTATTTAATTGACAAGCAATAAACTCCCTCTGTGGAAGCTACATTTCTTGGATAAGCAATATCTTCAATATTGAAATGTTCTACGATAAAGCAAGTATTTCCCTATGAATCCACATTTTGTTACATAGCAAAGCGCAGAGTTATTCCTGAATCAAAAGATGAAACTCCAATGTGTTATAAACATGTTCAATGTTGCATTGAGCAACTACTTGAGAAATACGATGTATATACTCTTCCTTCCGTCATGCACATCTCGTTCGGATCTATTCTAGTTTTAGAATATTCCTTAGTAATGGCCTTCATTATCTGAACATTTTCCTGATGACTTTTTGTAACGTATATTGGTACTGCATATTTCTTTGCACAAGAGGGCTTGAGGATCAAGACATGAGTCCACGAGAGTGGTCATCAAACATGAATATGGACAAGTGTCGTGATCTTAAGCCCGCTTGTGTACAGAAAAGTTCACGCCGACGGTGTTCCTTAGATAAATTCTTTTTCATATTCCTAATACTATTTTGAAAGCTGGACCGCATCAAAATTCAACCCGCTATCGAAGCAAGCTTTGTAGGTTTTTCTGCCCATCTTCTTCAATTTTGATATGCTTTGCTAACCTAATTCTATCGTGGACCATCCCCATTCAATTTTCAATGACATCACTTGCTCGAGCAAACAATCCCAACCTTGAATCATATGTAACTCTTCCAGGATACACTTCAGACAAGATCCCATGGAGATGCCCGTTATCAGGGAAAATTGTCAAAAAAGTCCTAAACCTATTGTACGGCGACCAATTCAGTCCTAAACCTTTTAAGTTTGTCAATTCAGTCCTAAACCTTTTTAATTCTTGCCAATTCAGTCCTTCCGGCCAATTTTGGCCGGCCGGCACTAACATGGCGGCCGGCCGTCCGGCCAATGCTGACGTGGCAATTTTTTATTATTTTTTTAATCTTTTTTTTTCTTTTTTTTTTTCTGCTTTCTTCCCTCTGGCCGGTCTGGCGACCTGCGACTGGCCAAAGGGGAGGGCCGGCGAGGTTGACCTCGCTGGCCATAGGCGAGGGCGAGCCTCGCCGGCCCCTGGCTGGGCGAGGTGAGGTCGACCTCGCCTCACCGTCGCGACACAGGCGACGGCGAGGCGAGGCCGACCTCGCCTCTGCTAGGCGAGGCAAGGTCGAGCCTCGCTGTCGCCTGGGTCTCGACGGCGAGGTCGAGCCTCGTTAGATTTGGGAAGAAAGCAGAAAAAAAAGAAAAAAAAAGGAAAAAAAGATTAAAAAAATAATAAAAAAATTGCCACGTCAGCGTTACCGGACGGCCGGCGCCGGCCAGCGGCCACGTCAGCGCCGGCCGGCCAAAATTGGCCGGAAGGACTGAATTGGCAAGAATTAAAAAGGTTTAGGACTGAATTGGCAAACTTAAAAGGTTTAGGACTGAATTGGCCGCCGCACGATAGATTTAGGACTTTTTTGACAATTTCCCCCGTTATCAACCACATGAATAAGAAGCAAAGGATAATCAGTAGTAACTCGTTCTCCTTTTGAATAGTGATGGATGTATTGAATACTTCTCACTAAAATATATTTATTACCAAGTGTGTCAAAATGTTGATTGATAATTTGAACAACTAGCATACGGGCATTTTAATAGTTGACTTGTTCAAATGATCGATCGACACATCATTTAGTAAACATGGTTCGGTAAGAAGTCTTGGTATATCTAGCATTACTCTTTTCTTTATAGACAGATAATCCGACTATTTGAAGTTAGTGATATTGATAAGTGCATGCATAATATCGTACATTATATTAGATACTGTAAATTTCATTACCTAGCTCTTCACATATCATTGAGCTACGGCTTAAGCAATAAGTAACGATAAGTAGAGTTAGAAGTTACGTCAAAAGAAGATGAAATATGTTTATTACATGAGAGATAATGAGAACCTACAAAAGCCTCAGCCGCCGCGCTTGGTCGAAACGCGAATCGAAACTATCACACGATCGTGTGGATTAAACGCTCTCCTAACTGTAAAAGCCGGAGAAATGAGATTGAACTAAATCTCATTATTAACATCTCATGAACCACACAATCTAGCTAGCTAGCTAGGGATTCAGAACCAAATGGCTTTGATCTCACAGTGACGAGGACTCGAAAAACCGCATGCGGAAGGCAAGTCTCGAGCCGATCTCACCACCCTATGCATTCCCTCGCGTCTGAACTCGCTCTGTTCCTCCCTCACGATCTGCCTAATTCCTCGGCACCGGCATTGCTGTTCCACCTGCCTCAGCTGCTGGCAGCATGGCCTAAAGTGCTGCGACTCCATCAATCGCTCCCTCTCGCTGCCGCCCATTCGGCTACTGCCTCGGCCGATGTCCCAAAACAGCTGCTCACATTGCTCAAGGCCTTGTGTCTGGACCTGCTCGTGGCAGCTCCCACTTCCGCTCCTCTCGTCGTCCTCATCGATCTCGACTGTGGTTATCATGGTCCGATGGGCCGAGGCAGCATGGGACATCACCAGGAGGGCTGCAAAGATAGCTGCTAGGGTTGCGAAGTTCGCCATTGTTGGTTGTTGCTTGTGGATTCACTAGTGAGAGAATTGTGATGATGCTTCTGTGTGCTTTGGTGAGCGAGAGAGGTGGCTGGATATGGTATTTATAGGGTTTGGATGTGCATATGGCCAGAGTACGTGGAAGATACAAGGATATTTTCAGATCATTACGGTTCCGTTTTTTCCATTCTTTGGGATCGCGGATTTATCGAAGGAAACGGTGCGTTAGATTAGGTTTATAGTTTGACCTTGAAAGATCAACTTGCCGAAATAAAAATCTCTATTCCGTTGGATTGAGTGATTATGCCCGGTTGAATAGGTACACTTCAACCTAATCTCTCGACTTCTTACTTGTGATGCTTTGCATTTGAACAGTCACAAGCTTGTTAACGAATTTTACGAAACAAATTGTTGACTTACAGGTCACAGCACGGGAACTACGTGGAGGGCGACATTGTCAGGTCATCGGGATGTTGGTCCTTGTCGTTTTTTGGTTGCAGTGGTGTCGTTTTGTATGGATAAAAAAGATGCGTTTGAGCTTACCAACGCAAAAGCAGATGGGGTTGATCGCATATTTCTGTTTCAGCTGTTGGAGAGACTTAATCAAGCTTTGAACAGGTCCAAATTGGATATAATAGTGATGTCGGCACGTATCACGGAACGACATATTGATCCAAAGTCGTAGATCAAAACTTCTTTTGGTATACATTTCTTTTGTCCTTTCTGATTCGGTAGGGGAATCCAAAACAAGGACAATGCTTTCATATTTTGATTTTGTGAGGCGTAGAACATAAGAAGAGAAATCATTAGATTGAAGTTAAGTGAAGGTTAAGATAATTGTCTCGTCCTACATGTTCATTTGCCCCCGGCCGATGAATTTCAAGAATGTCATATGCACCGGGAAAAGTACCAAAGGGAGTAAACAGGTAATCACAAATTTATTCAAAGTATTGACCCATCAGAACACATCGAAACTGAACCATAGCAAACAAACCCATGAGACCTAACTAGAGAAAAAGAGACAAACTTGACTGCATAAACTTAAAGACCCTGTGACGGTATGAAAACTTAGAAGCCACCACGGAGACGAAGGACCAAGTGCAGAGTCGACTCTTTCTGAATGTTGTAGTCAGCCAAAGTCCTCCCGTCTTCGAGTTGCTTCCCAGCAAAGATCAGCCTCTGCTGGTCTGGTGGGATGCCCTCCTTATCCTGGATCTTCGCCTTCACGTTGTCGATGGTGTCTGAACTCTCCACCTCCAAAGTGATGGTCTTTCCGGTCAGGGTCTTGACAAAGATCTGCATCCCACCACGCAGACGGAGGACGAGATGGAGAGTCGACTCCTTTTGAATGTTGTAATCGGCCAGTGTCCGGCCATCCTCGAGTTGCTTCCCTGCAAAAATCAATCGCTGCTGGTCCGGGGGAATGCCTTCCTTGTCCTGTATCTTCGCTTTGACATTATCGATTGTGTCAGAGCTCTCCACTTCCAAAGTGATAGTCTTGCCGGTAAGGGTCTTCACAAATATCTGCATGCCTCCCCTAAGACGCAAAACCAAGTGAAGAGTGGACTCTTTCTGGATGTTATAATCTGCCAGAGTCCTACCATCTTCTAGCTGTTTCCCAGCAAAAATAAGCCTCTGCTGATCCGGGGGAATGCCTTCCTTGTCCTGAATTTTTGCTTTGACATTGTCGATGGTGTCGGAGCTCTCAACTTCCAAAGTGATTGTTTTCCCGGTGAGGGTCTTGACGAAGATTTGCATTCCTCCTCTCAAACGGAGGACCAAGTGAAGGGTGGATTCCTTTTGAATGTTGTAGTCCGCTAGCGTCCGGCCATCCTCGAGTTGCTTGCCAGCAAAGATCAACCGCTGCTGGTCTGGGGGGATCCCTTCTTTGTCCTGGATTTTGGCCTTCACATTGTCAATGGTATCAGAACTCTCAACCTCAAGAGTAATGGTCTTGCCGGTGAGGGTCTTCACAAAGATCTGCATGCCACCTCTCAGACGAAGCACCAAATGGAGTGTGGATTCCTTCTGGATGTTATAATCAGCCAAGGTGCGTCCATCCTCGAGCTGCTTGCCTGCAAAGATGAGCCTCTGCTGGTCTGGGGGGATTCCCTCCTTGTCTTGAATCTTCGCCTTAACATTATCAATAGTGTCAGAGCTTTCAACCTCGAGGGTAATGGTCTTGCCTGTGAGGGTCTTCACAAAGATCTGCATGCCACCTCTCAGACGAAGCACCAAATGTAGTGTGGATTCCTTCTGGATGTTATAATCAGCCAGGGTGCGTCCATCCTCGAGCTGCTTGCCAGCAAAGATGAGCCTCTGCTGGTCTGGGGGGATTCCCTCCTTGTCTTGAATCTTGGCCTTCACATTATCAATCGTGTCAGAGCTTTCAACCTCGAGGGTAATGGTCTTGCCCGTGAGGGTCTTCACAAAGATCTGCATGCCACCCCTAAGGCGAAGAACCAGGTGCAGGGTCGATTCCTTCTGGATGTTGTAATCAGCCAATGTGCGCCCATCCTCGAGCTGCTTGCCAGCAAAGATGAGCCTTTGCTGGTCTGGGGGGATTCCCTCCTTATCTTGGATCTTGGCCTTCACATTGTCGATTGTATCTGAACTCTCAACCTCAAGGGTGATGGTCTTGCCAGTAAGAGTTTTCACGAAGATTTGCATCTGACAGATTCAAGGAAATAATTAGACAATATGTAAAACTAGATTAAATCTATACATATATATATGAAAAACAAGCTGCATGTGTTCTGCCATAATTGCAAGAAACAGCAGGCAATAACAAGCCAGGTTATATTCAGTTTTACAATCTTTGAAGCTTTATTTCCATGCAGAGTTTAACTGCATGCAGGATCTGTGCTAATTGGGATATAAAAAGACCACACTGTTCATTGAAACATATAGAGCACTACATCCCTCCATGATTATACTTCATATGCACGAAATCGTATTCACAGCACCCAAGCAAGACAGATCAAAGTGCCAGACCCCATAGTGCCACTCAACAGATAAATGCACAAACCCTATGTGTTGTGCTATTGCAAGAAACAGCAAGTCCAGACTAAGAGCTAATATCTATACCGCCAATCGATAAATTAACACCACAGACATTATATTAGACAACAATCTCTAGGTACTGTTAGTAAATCACGATCCTACAGATTAATCATCATGGCTTCAACAAATGATTAGACATATGGAAACTAGACAGAAGCAAACGGCTATGAACGATGCAAGCAACGGGCAGAAAAATAAAATCTCAATCCGCAAGACAACTTCATAAATCACATCATCGACAAAGTCATACGAACTGAATTTCCTTCACAAGATCGACACATGCAAAGCCCAGGTCAAACCATTCCCCAGACGCGGCCTTCCTAACAGTGCAGATCTATGAAGAAATTTCAAACACCCAATTTTGGGCAAGGACGGACAAGCATCAGGACGAGAAAGCAGATCGTGCATCACTCGGCATACAGCCGGCGGCATCTTCCCAAGCAAAAAGCCAGACCAAACCTCAATCAATCAGGAAAAAACTCAACACAAATTTTCCCTACACCCAGAAGAACAAACAATTGAAACAGAAGACCAGCTTTGAAGACAGCTAGATTCGACAAGAGAAGACCGACACACGCAAGACCGACGCATCAAGCCTCACAAGAGCACCGATCAATTCGAAGAAGAGGCTCAAGAACCTAATCCCAAATCAGAAAGCAGAACAAATTTACACAACGAGGTCCGTAATTTAACCCAAATCTCTCGAAGAGAAAACGTAATCTCATCGCCGTGAATCCATCAAAGGAAAACCCAGATCGAAGAGCTCAAAACCAATAAGGAAAAAGCTTCGGATACCTCTACCGATCTTGAGGAAGAAACGATCGAATTGAAACAGCAAAAAGCGATCGAGATCAAAAAGAGAATCGAGGAGGAAGTACCTTGAACGAAGCGATCTGAAAGAGACACCGCGAGATCGATCGATCGATCGGTCGAAGAGGGGATTTGACGAGAGCTGCCGAACAAGAGATCGTGTGTGAAGGCAATCGATGGGGGATTGGGTCCTATTTATAGGGCCTTGATGCCGCGCGCCTTGTCGGTGATGAGACCGAGGCGCGTCGGTGTTTCCGAGACGGCTCGTGCTGCTGGGTTAAGAAAACTCGTGCTTTTATTTATTTTTTTCTTTTTTCTAAATTAGGATTTTCAAGACGAATTATTATTATTATTATTACTTTTTTTTTTCCTCGACGAGCAAGCGAAGGCGATCGGCTCGGTCTTATTTGGAGTATAAAATGTCAAATTGAAACTAATCTTGGCACGTCTTAAACGTTTGAATAATGTAGGGACCTTCGTTGACTGATGTCGTGCCTTATACGCAACTTTTATTCCATCTCTAATTATTGATGACGTCTTTTGACCGGCTTAAGTCTTATCGCTAATCTTTATTTTCGTCTTAGATGATCGAATGAAATATTGGCCTATTTAGCCTATTTTATATCGGTGAAAATACCAAAAAAAATTATAAATCTATTTCTTGGTGTCAAGTCAATCATAATTCTTTTTTACATTTTTTCAATTAAGTCCATATGGCTAATGTTGATTGAAAATCGTACGTTAACAATTTTTTTAAAATGAATTTTTAATTATTTTTGTTTTTTATTTTCTTTTCATTTTGGATGGCCCTGGCCCAGGGTGAGGCCCCCGGCGATGTAGCCCTTGACGAGATTCTGGCCTAGGTAGGGGTCACGACCTTTGCTATCGGGTGGCGAGGGCTTGCTGGCCCTTGCCCAGTAATCGATGCCAGAAAAAATAAAAGGTAAAAAAAGGAACGAAAGAAGAAAAAACATAAAGAAAGAAAAAGAAAAGAACAAAAAATTAGATACTAAATAAACTCGTACTCTTAGTTTTTTTCTTTTTTCTAAATTAGGATTGTTAAGACGAATTATTGTTGTTATTTTCTTTTTTCGAGAAACAAGAGAAGGCAAGCCGCTTGGTTTTATTTGAAGTATAAAATGTCAATTTGAAACAATGGTTGGCACATCTTTTTTTTTTGTTTTTGGTCAGAAAAGTTTGGCACATCTTAAACGTTTGAATAATGTGGGGAGCTTTGTTGAATGATGTCGTGTCTTATCTGCAACTTTTATTTCATCTCTAATTGCTGATGATGTCTTTTGACCAACTTAAATCTTATGACTAATCCTTATCTTCATCTTAGATGGTCGGATAAACTACTTAGCCTCTTATTTTTTATAAGGAAGTAAAATATTTTATATTGAAGAAAGTACCAAAAAAGTCATAAATTTATTACATTTGTGCCAATTCAATCGTAAACCTTTTTATTTTATTTTATATATTTTTTCAATTAAGTCAATCTGACTAATTTTGGTTGAAAATTGTTAATGTGAACAATTTTTACAATTTTTTTAGTGAATTTTTCTTTTTCATTCCTTTTATTTTGGCCACGCAAGGCCGTGATGCCCTAGGCGAGCATGCAAAGTTCCTCGTCAGATTTGAGCCATCACAGCCTTGCCAATTTTAGGCGAGGCCACTGGCGATGTGGACCTTGGCTAGATCTGGCTAGGGCCACGACCCTCGCTAATCGCTGGCAAGGGCTTGCTGGCCGTTGCCCAATGACCTGTGCCAGCCAAAATGAAAGAAAAAAAATAAGATAGATAGAAACAAAAAAAATAAAATAATAAAGAAAGAAAAAGAAAAGAACAAAAAAATAATTTTATTTGTATTAAAGATGTTTGCATCAACGTCGATCGTGCCACGTAAGATGCTTGGCATCCACGTAAGTAATTTGGGGTCAAATTTGATTGAATATATTCGATTAATAAAATGTGAAAATATTTATGATTAAATTGGTCAAATTCAAAGTTTTATGACTAAATTGATATAAATACGTTAGCTTTAGCCTTTTTCCATACTTTTCTCATTTTATATTCATGATCAAGCAGATATAGATAAAATGCAAGTAACAATGAAATAAAGCCGACCACCTTCACCATTACGCGAGATAGGACTCACATGAGACCGACATACTCCAACAACGAATACGATTTGAGCTCACACGAGTCAAGTGTCATAGGGCGATTTTTTGTGGCGCAAGGCTTAAGGGATGGCCCCAGGCGGGTTACCTTCGTTGTTAAGGCTCGAACCCGACACGACGCTTCACGGGGTGCGATCCAATATGGAGGCTGTACGATATGGGATCCTCGGAATGGTCCGAAAAGGATTGAGAGTTTGAAGAGGGCTGTGGGCGATTACTGGGCCTTTTGGCCCCAGAATCTCCTAAGGGACACGGTTGAGCCCAACCGAAGCATGGCTCCTCCGGACGAAGGGAAATCAAGATCCATCCATACAAGTTACTCTCGATCAAGCACGTGCCGATGATCTCTTTCGGTTTGGATTCGCGGGTCATGAACTGCGTGGTCTTTTTGTCGTAGAGAGCTGCGTGGTCTTGTTGTCCTAGAAATCAGTTTCGAAGATGAATATGCTGATTGTTTGGACATCTGCTATTGGAATTCGAACGTTTGAGGTTTCTTTCTTTTCCCTGAGGCCTCATTCATGCATCGGGTTTCTGGGATTTCTCAGTTTCAGCTTTTTCAGCATGAGTTCTGTTGTTCAGCTCGACATCATTCACAATTTTAGATAGCGTAATTGGGTGACCCTGCAAAATTGCAACCCTCTTTTCTCATTGAGTAATCTTTGCGAATTCCCGCAGTTTTGCATCATCAGTAGTTTTGGCAGACCTCGTCATCGATGCCGTGAACATTACTGTCAAATCCTGTTAAAAGCATGCAGCTGATTATCTTTGGAATCTTCAATCACAGTGGTATGTTTGAAGCCGCGAAAATCATGAACCAAGAAAATGCCAGAAACGATATTTTATGTCTTTGGAACATGCCGGTTGCCAGTTGTGCCATCTCGGTCGATAAGATTTATGAGAAGTAGTCCATACATAATCTGCCATTAGTAGCAGATTTTGACTAGCATTCTTCGTGAATACTTTGAGCTGACTCGTTATCTTCCGGTTTTTCTAATGGAGTTTTTCTCCTTCAGTTTGGCAGAGGGTACAAATAAATCTGGTTTAAGCCACTCATCATCCAACCACAGCTAGTTTTGCTGGTTAATAGATCTCTGACGCACTTCATCACTCAATGCCCACCGTCGGTCCTCGATCTGGTGATGCAATCTTTGCAAATGTTGAGCGAGTGGTAAGACAAAACTTTCGAGTATGATATACCCAAAACAGTAAGCTGCTAAGATGCCAATAAACCACCAAAAAAAAAAAAAGAGAGAGGAGAAAATCTAACGTTCATTGAGGGAAGTGGATCATCTTCTGCTCTATTAGTCGCTGGTGACTGGTCATGTACGTGGAACTTACACGTGAAAGTACATGATCTATCTTTAGGCTTTAGTTCCGTTTAACTATTTCTGCAACTTCTCAGATGATAAAACCTTAAAATTAGTTATAGATATTGGTTCTTCTTTTAATTGTGTAACTCAGATTGGAATTGTTTTCAGATACTGGCCTTTGCTAGAATACTTGTGTTGGCTCCAATGTTACTTGTGCACTATTTAGCATAAATTTTAATTCGTACCCTTGTTTCTTGCTTTCTTGGAAGGCTAAGTGATTGAGCTTAATCTTAGAACTGAGTCTTGGTGACGATCTCTGGGATGAGTGACTCTTTCCTTTCCTTCAATGTTCCTGTATGCGAAAGAGAATGGACAAGATTGAGCATGGTAATTAGATAGATGTTCTTGCTGCAGAATGTAGAGCTGTTTACTTTAACCTATGGAGCAATTGTGTGTCAATTGCTTACAGATCTGGAGGAGGTTGAGGAAGTCAACAAACAACTCGATCAAATGTACGTTTCTTTTTGTTACCATAGTTTCATCAAACCAGTGTTTGTATTTCTTGTGCATTGATGAAAAAAAAATTATCTTAGCAATGTTCTTTGTCCTTTTACCCGTCTTGGATTTGTTCTCAAGCGCTCAACGTCTTAGAATTACATTATAATGTTGTAGCATGTGTCAAATACTCTTTGCCACGATTATTCATTTTAGCAGTGGTAATGAATTTTAGTTTGTGAAATTAGAACTCCTGTGAACTCTGCTAAATTGCTAAAATTTGTCAGTTCTTCACTAATTATGTTATTTATACTTTTTACCCGTCTCTCAGGGGTTATAATATAGGCACCAGATTGATTGATGTATTTCTAGCAAAAGCTAATTTCTCCGATGTGTTGACTTCAAGGAGACAGCTGAAATGACTGCTAAGGTTCCAATGCTTACTATGTTTCATTCATATGATTATAATTGTAGACTACATGCTTACACTAGATGAGTTCTGGACATGCAAAAGTATCAGTTCAGCCCGGTTTCTATGTACTATGCTGCGTAGTCGATTGTCAATATTGGCCAGTAGTGGGACAGTTTGATTCTCCAACATGACTGAAATTCCTTGCTTTCATATATACAAGTACTGTTAACCATAAAAAGTACAAGTTGAGGTTTATGTTTCACCGAATCAGTTCTGTACAGGTGGGTTTCAAGATGTTCTTAGGAGTCGCTGCATCTGTGACCAATTGAGATGTCGAGGGAACCTGTTGCAGTATAGTTTTGGAGGACAATCCCTTGGTAGACTTTGTGGAGCTTCCTGATACATGCCAGGTCTTATATTACTGCAACGTCTTAAGTGGAGTCATCAGAGGGGCCCTAGAGATGGTAAGCACGATCGTCGTTGTAGCGGTACTTTGCTGTCATAAATGCACTCGCAGTTAGACACTTTGTGGTTGCATTGCACTGAGGGCGATGTATGGATTGTGGAAACTCTTAAATCCTAATCCATTAGGAGACTTCCACTGGTTGCTTTGACTTCCTAAGAGTTCAGTTGGGACAAACTGTGCTTGATTTAGTTTCAGCAGAGAAATGTTATAAATAGTTGATTCGGTTTAGGCCATCAATTACTCATCTGAACATTGGTGTAGCTGGAGTGGGTCCGATGCACCTGGAGTGGGTCCGATGCACCTATGAACTTTTTGAAGAAGATGACATGATTCCTGATCTGTAGGAGAGAATGTTACTTGGCGTTACTCTTCACCTTAACGTTTAATTTTGCTCGTATTGCTTTCGTATCTAGGTGTCAATGAAGACTGAAGTCACATGGGTCCGCAACGTGCTCCAAGGGGACGATTCATATGAGTGGCAGGTGAAACTTCTGAAGCAAGTCCCGGAAGAGTACCCGTACAAAGACGATGGGTAAGCTCATATGTTTGAAGTTCATCATGACCTTTTTGCCGCCTTGTATCCAGGAGGCGAGTGTCGATGCCGACGGCTTTTAGATATCAGTCGTTATGTTTAGTTGCTCTTTGCCAAACCGAACCCGCCATGACTGCAAATTGACTCTGGATTCAATTCTTCTTCTGCTTCTTTTCTTTTGTAGACTTAATTTTGAAACAAATAAGATGGTAAAGAAATGGATAATGTACTGTACAGGCAAATTGGCAACTAACTTTCTGTAGTCATTGATAACGAAGTGATAGATTTCAATTGTTGCAACGCAGAAGTGATAGGTAAACAGGGATTCGTCGGTCCGCACATAGGCTTTCGGGCATATATGCTCACGGGCACAACAATAGAGAAAAGAAAATTGTTCTATCAAAAACAAAAAAGCTATAGAGAAATATTTCTTTTGTGTATTCCGCAAAATACGACGACAAACCATCCGGTAAATAGAAAATATACACCCTGCTAGCCTCAGGCGACACTGAAAAATCCAAAGGAAATCGGAAAAACAAATAGAAGCCTAAAAGAACAGCGAGAAAATGACAAAAATTAAAAAGTGCCTCGTGACGTGCCTAGATAATGAATTTCGAGGTCCGAAATGACTGTAAATGAGTATCTCGGGTTGGCCTCGATTGGCTACAACATTGCCCGAAACAAGCTTTCCGATAAAAATAAAAAATTAGTATTACGAGTCTCGTAACTTTTCTTAATTGAAAGTTATGGTCGCTTTCTTACGCGCTGCATACGTTGCTGTCCTAGGCCACCTGTTAGTTTTGTTATCGTCGGCAACCGTGTCCGCGTCATATCGACGGGGAGACCGAGCATCTTTTCTTATCTTTTTCATGTCTCCTTTATTCAAGTTTGGTACACTTTTTTTTTTGGTCAAGTTTGGTACACTTAACAACGTAGTGTGCGACCAATCGCAGGCCACGCACTATGGTCAACCCCAAGTAAAACGGGGCATACCTGACTGCGTACGTCTGCTGCACGTTGGCAAAGCACTTTCACTTTGCTCATTCTTGCTTTCCATTGCGGGCACTTTCACTTTGCTCATTCTTGTACCATCACCGGTTCTTGAACACCACACAAGATCAAAGAACAACTTGCAGCTCTTCTTTTTCTTGGCCTTCTTCGCCACCGGCGACCATGTCGGAGCCCGGCGGGTGTTGCCGGCGCTGCTGTGGGTTCATCTTCACTTGCGGCCTCTCGGCTCTCTTCCTGTGGCTCGCGCTGCGCGTGTCCAAGCCCAGTTGCTCTATCCACCAATTCTACCTCCCGGCACTCAACGGATCTTCCAACACTCCCGCGAAGACCACCATTTTCTTGGACGTGAAGCTGAGCAACGTCAACAAGGAGAAGGGCATCCACTACGACCCCGTGAACCTCACCGTTTATTGCTTCAGCGGTACGAATCGGACCAAGTGGGTCAAGACCATTCCTGGATTTTACCAGGGGCATGGGAAGAAGGCCACGAAGAATGCAAGTGTGGAGACTTTGGGGGTGAATTGGACTGATTTTGTGGTGGCCAAGGACGAGTCTTTGGTCTTTAGGGTGGATTTGGCCACTGCTGTGAGGTTCAAGATCATGCTTTGGAACACCAAGAGGCATAAGTTAATGGTGGGAGCTAATGTGACTCTCAATGCTGAGGGTGCTAAGAACACCACTAAGGATATCAAGCTAAAGTCTGGGGTGTGTAAGAATTTGAGATGTTGTTGCTTTTGGCAGGTGGGGATTTCTGTTGTTGCCTTAGCTTTGATTTTGCTAGACTAAGGACTGAGTTGGACTCTTCCTTGTGGGGGGAGGGTTTCGGATTAGATTGATTTTTCTGGTATTTCTTGGTAGTGGGCAGTGCTGGTTAGTGTTTGCATGAGAAACGATTCATCTAATGGAAGTGGAAAAACCATTGGTTTCAGGTGATTTCGTAGGATAAACATTTGAATGAATTCTGGTGTTTGGTTCTTCTGCATGTACTGCTTGCTTATCCTTCATTACAGTGATTCTTGGTCTTTGCAAAACAGAGTGTATTTTGTTTACCTACTTACAATTCTCGCCTGAAAGACTGCACTGGGAGGAGAATCTGGTCATGTTAACTGCATTTCAGTGGTATATTTTAAAGGCTTCTTAATATTCTTTTTCCTGAATATTAAGTAAATTCTACCAGTCACCATCGTGGCCCTTCCTTTCTTTCTTTTTTGTTTCCCTAAATTAGGATTTTTAAGATAAATTGTTATTTTTTTCTCGACAAACAAGTATGAGAGAGAAGACCCTTTTTATTTCTATATAAACGAATGAAGGGAAGACGAGCAGCTTGGTTTTATTTGAAAATATAAAATGTCAATTTGAAACGAATCTCGGCACCAGCTAAACAAAGTTTGGCATATCTTTAACATTTAAATAATGTGGACCTTTGTTAAATGATGTCATGTCTTATCCGCAACTTTTATTTCATCTCCAATTTGCTGATGATGTCTTTTGATTTGACCAACTTACACCTTATCGCCAATCCTAATCTTCATCCAATTGAGGTAAGTTGAATTTTTAGTTATTTCAGTTTCGTCGAGAACTGCGCGTTTCTTGTTGTCCTAGATGTCAGTATTGATGATGAATTTGCTGATTGTTTCGACATCTGAAACCTGATTCCTGTAGCTTTTTCTGACTGTCATTGGAATTCGAAACGGTCGAGGTTTTTTCTCTTTCTTTTTCCCTGAGACCTCATTCATGCGTCAGGGTTCCTGGGATTTCTTGATGTTAACTTCAGCATGGAATTTCCGTTTCATTACCTTACTGGGATTTCTCAGTTTCAGTTTTTTCAGCATGAGTTCAGTTGTTCTGCTCGACATCATTCATTATTTGAGATGGGGTAATTGGTGACTCTGTGAAATTGCTACCCTCTTTTTTCATTCAGTAATCTTTGTGAATTCCCTCAGTTTGGCATCATCAGTAGTTTCGACGGACCTCATCATCAATGCCGTGAACATTACTGTTGGATCCTATTCAAGCATGCAGCTGATTATCTTTGGAATCTTCAATCACAGTGGTATGTTTGAAGCCGCGAAAATCATTAACCAAGAAATGCCAGAAACGATATTTCATGTCTTTGGAACATGGCAGTTGCTAGTTGTGATGTCTCCATCGATAAGCTTTATGAGAAGTAGTCCATACATAATCTGCCGTTGGTAGCAAATCTTAACTAGCATTCTTTCGTGAATACTATGAGTGGCACGTTATCTTCCAGTTTTTCTCATGGAGTTTTTCTCCTTCAGCTTGGCAGAGGATACAAACAAGTGGCTCGTCATTAAACCAGAGCTAGTTTTGCCAGTTAATAGATCCCTGACGCTTGCAGTTGACCTCTCATCATCACTCAATGCCCACCGTCGGTCCACGATCTGGTGATGCAATCTTTGCAAATGTTGAGCGAGTGGTAAGACAACTTTTTGAGGATGACATACCCAAACCAGTAAGCTGCTATAAGATGCCAATAAACCACAAAAAAAAAAAGAAGAGAGAGAGGAGAAAATCTAACGTTAATTGAGGGAAGTGGATCATCTGCTGCTCTATTAGTCGCTGGTGACTGGTCATCTATGTGGAACTTACACCCGAAAGTACATAATCTACCTTTAGCTCCGTTTAACTATTTCTGCAACTTCTCAGATGATGAGGTCCTAAAATTAGTTATGGATATTGGTTCTTCTTTTAATTGTGTAACTCAGATTGGAATTGATTTCAGATATTGGCCTTTACTAGAATACTTGTGTTGGCTCAAATGTTACTTGCGCACTATTTAGCGTAAGTTTTAATTCGTGCCTTTGTCTCTTGCTTTCTTGGGAGGCTAAGTGAATGGGCTTTATCTTAGATTTGAGTTTTGGTGACAATCTCTGGGACGAGTGACTCTTTCCTTTCCTTCAGTGTATCTGTATGCGAAAGAGAATGGACAAGATTGAGCATAAACTCTCGTGCTGCTCATTTTGTTTGTTGGTAATTAGATAGATGTTCTTGCTGCAGAATGCAGAGCTGTTTACTTTAACCTTCGGAGCAATTGTGCATCAATTGCTTACAGATCTGGAGGAGGCTGAGGAAGTCAACAACCAACTCGATCAAATGTACGTTTCTTTTTGTTACCATAGTTTCATCAAACCAGTGTTTGCATTTCTTGTGTATTGATGAAAATAAAATTATCTTAGCAATGTTTTTGTCCTTTTACCAGTGGTATTTGTTCTCAAGTGCTCAACGTCATAGAATTAGATTATAATGTTGTAGCTTGTGTCAAATACTCTTTGCCAGGATTATTCATTTTAGCAGTGGTAATGAATTCTAGTTTGTGCAAATTAGGACTCCTCTGAACCCTGCTAAATTGCTAAAATCTGTCAGTTCTTCACTAATTATGTTCTTTATACTTTTTACCCATCTTGCAGGGGTCATAATATGGGCACCGGATTGATTGATGAATTTATAGCAAAAGCTAATATCTCCAGACGTGTTGACTTCAAGGAGACAGCTGAAATGATTGCTAAGGTTCCTCTGCTTGCTATGTTTCATTCACATGATAATAATTGTAGACTTCATGCTTACACTAGATGAATTCTAGACATGCAAAGAGTATCAGTTCGACCTGGTTTCTATATACTATGCTGCAGTGGTAGATTATCAATATTGGCCAGTAGTGGGACAGTTTGATTCTCCAACATGACTGATTTTCCTTGCTTTCATATATACAAGAACTGTTAACCATGGAAAAGTACAAGTTGAGGTTTATGTTTCACTGAATCAGTTCTGTACAGGTAAGTTTCAAGATGTTCTTAGGAGTCGCTGCATCTGTGACCAATTGGGATGTCGAGGGAACCTGTTGCAGTATAGTACTTTTAGAGGACAATCCCCTGGTAGACTTTGTGGACCTTCCTGATACATTTGCGTGGTCGAGTGGGTCTCATGCACCTATGAACTTTGTTAAATTACGTCTCGAGTTTGAGCTCACGTATAAAACTCGATTTGATTTGGATAGGCTCCTTTGTCGAAGAAATTGTGGCTGTGTGTATTAGTCTTGAGAAGACCTCCTGTGGGCGCCATCATGGCCAGTGGGTCCTTCGTGGGAGGAGAACGGGCATTTTGTGCCGCACGAAGGACATTCTGAATGTGGAGCTCTTGATGAAGACGCGCCTTCAACATCCGGCAAAGATATGCCGTGAGCTATACGTCCATTTGAGTTGTTTATTTATAAACACTTGGGGTTTGGGTGTAATTTAGGTACGGATAACACTCGAGTAAACTTAGATTTTCCGATTATAGTGGATTATATGGTGCTAGCTTTCTGTGTGGATATAGGTTCCGATACGTCGGACCGAATCACGTAAATATGGCGTGCCCTTTATCGTTCTTCGTTAATTCTCTGGCTATATTCGCGTTGACATAAATTGCAAGATCTCGAGTTTAGCTTCCGCGTTGATTAGTATCACGACAAACTTTTTGAAGAAGATGACACGATTCCTGATGAGTAGTAGAGAATGTTACTTGATGTTACTCTTCGCCTTAACGTCTAATGCTGCTCGTATTACTTCCGTATCTAGGTGTCGATGAAGACTGAAGTCGCACGGGGTCCGCGACGTGCTTAGAGGGGGACGATTCATATGAGCTGCGGGGTGAAACTTCTGAAGCAATTCCCGGAAGAGTACCAGTACAAAGATGATGAATAAGCTCGTCCGTTTGCAGTTCATCATGACCTTTATGCCGCCTTGTATCCAGGAAGCGAGTGTACCAAAAGCTTTTAGATTTTAGTGGTTTATATTCAGTTTGTCTTTGCCAAACCGAACCCGACATGACTGCAAATTGACTCTGGATTCAATTCTTCTTCTTCTTCTTCTCTTTTGTTGACCTAATTTTGGAACGGATAAGATGGTAAAGAAATGGATAATGTAGTGTACAGACAAATTGGCAACAACTTTCTTTAGTCATTGATAACGGAGTGATAGATTTCAATTATTGGGACGCAGAAGCGATAGGTAAGCATGGATTTGTCGGGCACATACGCTCTCAGGCGCAACAATAGAGAAGAGAATTTTAGCCAAAAAAAAAAAACAATAGAAAAGAGAAAATTGTTTTGGCTAAAAATAGAAACAATAGAATTTTTTTTTGATGAAAAACTATCTGATACATAGAAAATAAGAAAAATAACACAAATGGTTTTTGAACTTTGATTAATATGTGGTATATAAATTTTTAATTTGTTCAATGTGATTCCTCAATTTAGTCAAATGTGCAATGTGATCCATGAACTTTAATTTGTTCAATGTGGTTCTTGAGCTTTTGGTACATGTTCAATATATTCCCTGAATTATATGAAAATATTCAATCTTATCCTTGAACTTGAATTAAGGGAAATATATCATTGGATATTTTTATATTAGCCTATGGACTAGATTGAACATCTATCAAAAGTTCATGGACCATATAAAATAAATTAAAAGCTCACGGATCACATTATACATTTTATCAAAGTCGAGGAATCATTTGTGTAATTATCCATAGAGAATATATACCCTGCTAACCCTAGGTGAGACCGGAGAATTCGAAGATAACGCTAAGCAACAGGGACTTTGTAAAAATATTTAAAAGCCTAAAAAATACGACAAGAATCAAGGAGTGCTTTAAGACACGCCTAAATAAATGAATTTTGAGGTCCGAAATGACCGTAGATCACAACACAGCTCGGAACAAACAATTCTGAATTGGTATTATGCGTCCCGTAACTTACCTTCTTCCAAAGTTATGATCGCTTTCCGGACCCACCTGATTAGTGATTACATTAGTTATCATCCACAACCGTGTCCGCATCATATTGAATTATTGATAGGTGGACCGACCGTTCTTTAGTTCATCTTAATATCTCCTTATTCGATCTGGTACAGTTAAACAACGTGTTTTCCGACCAACCGCAAGCCACGCGTTTATGGTCAACTCCAAGTAAACGGGCACAGCTGACTATGTACGTCTGCTGCACGTTCGAAGCACTTCCACTTTGCTCGTTCCTGGATTCCCTGTTGCGGACAACGATCACCAGTTCTTTGATCGCTGGCAACGCCACAACCCAGATCAAAGAAAGCAACCTTGCGGCTCTTCTTCTTCTTCTTCTTCTTGGCCTCCTTCGCCGACGGCGAGCTCCTCCGGGGACCATGGCGGAGTCCGTTTGCCAGTGCTGCTGTGGCTTCATCTTCACTTGCGGCCTCTCGGCTCTCTTCCTGTGGCTCACGCTGCGCGTGTCCAAGCCCACTTGCTCCATCCAGCAGTTCTACCTCCCGGCGCTCAACGGGTCTGCGGGCACCCCCACGAACACCACCATCTTCTTGAAAGTGAAGCTGGACAACGGCAACAAAGAGAAGGGCATTTACTACGACCCCGTGAACCTCACCGTTTATTACTACAGTGATGCGAATCACACCAAGTGGCTCAAGAACATCTCTCGATTTTACCAGGGGCATGGGAAGAAGGCCACGAAGAATGCGAGCGTGGAGACTTTTGGGGTGAATTGGACTGATGTTCTGGTCAAGAACGAGTCATTGGTCTTTAGGGTGGATTTGGCCACTGCAGTGAGGTTCAAGATCATGCTTTGGAAGACCAAGAGGCATAAGTTAATGGTGGGAGCTAACGTGACTCTCATTGCTCAGGGTGCTAAGGACCCCAAGAAGGGTATCAAGCTGAAGTCTGGGGCGTGTAAGAATTTGGGGGGTTTTGGCTTTTCGCAGGTGGGGATTTTTGTTGTCGCTTTAGCTTTGATTTTGCTTGACTAAGGGCTGGGTTGGACTCTTCCTTGTGTGGGGAGGGTTGAGAATGAGATTGATTTTCTGGTAATTCTTGATAGTGGGCAGTGCTGGTTAGTGTTTGCATTAGAAATGATTTAATTAGTGGAAGAGAAAAAATCATTGCTTTTGGATGATTTCGTTGAATTAACACTTAAATGAATTCTGGTGTTTTGTTCTTATGGTATGTAGTGCTTATATTTCATTACAGTGAGTTCTTCGGGCTGGTTCAGATTCTTGGTCTTTGCAAACAGAGTGAATTTTATTTACCTTGTTACAATTCTCGCATAATTGACTGCATTGGGAGGAGAATCTGGTCATGTTAACTTTTGTGCATCTTTGGTGTGTGTGTCCTTTCATTTATAGGACAGATAAATGCCAATCTTGCATGATGCATGGTTCATTTTTGTCCAAAGAAGTTCTGGCAATAGCATTCTAGTCAAGAGATTCTTGCTGCACAAGAAGTTACTACGAAATTGGACAGCTCGATTCGAGACTCTCTACAGAATCAGATTAGCAGTCATGGAGCTGAAGCTGAATATTCATTGGGAACAGTCTATAATCTGTGAAAAAACTGGTCCGATGCTCTGTTCTTAATACTATAATTGCATTGTGGTTTTATCTCATGAGTTCCCGCAGCTCCCGCTAATCTAGATCAGGAAATAGGGAAGGGACCGGGTTACGTAATATGCATTTGACAGTAAAAGAACACGGTGAGGAACCTGCCGGGATAGTTCCTAGGGTCAATTTTTTATGTCTTTTGTGATGTCACATGCAAGCAGTAGATATCAAGTCACCTCTTCTGGACCTCCTCAAATATATATATGCACACACACACACACACAATTATGCTTAGGCTCTGAGCTGATCCAGGTTTCATGAAGGGAGTTGGTCATTCATCTCCTTGGATTTCTTCCTTTTGTCTTTTTCTGCGAAAGCTGCATTGTTCATTTGAATTGTTAAATTGCACCTATTTTGGTCAATAGTTTACTTGATGACAATAGCCTCATTTCACGGAGCCAACTCTTCTCAGAATTGAACAAAATGACCCTTTGAAGTTCAGTGGTGCTTGGAAGTATGTAAGGCACATTCAACAAATAATTACATCATTTTCCTTGAGTGTACTACATGAGAAACAAAGACTAGCATAATTGTACTATGAAGCTCATCTTTCAGAAGAACAAGATGTGACCCAAGATATCACTCTGTCTGTGCTCTACTTTTAGCGATAGGGGGAGCTGCCGCTCTGTAATTTGATCAGAGAGTAGTAGGCACCGCCACGTCCCAAGGATATCAGTTCATTATGCGAGCCTTGTTCTGCAACTTTTCCATTCTTAATGACGGCGATTGAGTCAGACTTCTGTATAGTGGACAGCCTGTGAGCAACAACTATACATGTCCTATTGATCATCATCTTTTCCAGTGCTTCTTGAACTAAGCTCTCTGATACACTGTCAAGTGCACTGGTAGCCTCATCTAACAAAAGGATTGATGGATTCTTCAATATAGCCCGAGCTAGTGCTATCCTTTGTTTTTGACCTCCTGATAGCTGAACTCCTCTTTCTCCACAGTATGTATCATACCCATCTTTCATGCCACTGCAATTCGAGAAAATACACGATTGACAAATAGAACTACTTATTCTAAGCTTATCACACACAAGGAGGAACCGCTATCTGTTGCTATATCAGCCAAAAGGAATATCTGCTGCTATCAATGATACAAAGTCATAAATCTTCCTAGTTGAATACAAGCTTGTTGCCTCTATCAGGTTTTAAATCATCCTGGTAGATTCTGAACAAAAGGAGATCTAGAAAGTAAAAATCCTTTTCAGCATATTTACCGAGCTCAACATACCTTATGAATTCTTGGGCATTGGCAAGAACTGCAGCTTTTCTTATCTCCGATTCTCTAGCACCTTCTTTTCCATAGGCAATATTTTCACGGATAGTTCCAGCAAAAAGGGTAGGCTCCTGACTGACTAGTGCAATGTGGGATCTCAGCGTTTTCAGGTTGTAGTTGTTTATATCCTGGTCATCTATATGCACAGATCCTTTCATTGGATCATAAAATCTTTCTATAAGCCCAATTATGGTAGATTTGCCAGAGCCACTCTGCCCAACTAGTGCAACTGTTTTCCCTGCCCGAACTTTGAGGCTCAACCCCTTGAAGATCATCTGATCAGGCCTTGCTGGGTATGCAAAGAAGACATTTCTCAACTCCACTTGACCCTTAAGACCCCTCCTTAATTCTACTCCCCCTGGGGTGTCCGGGTCAATCTCAGTTCTTCTGTCGAGGATCATGAAAACTGACTTGATGGAATTGCTTCCTTTGGATATGTCAGAGGTCATGCTTCCGGCCTCAGCGATAATATAAGCAGAAAACACCAATATTAAATATGATTGAAAGAGGTGCTCTGGACTTAGCAAATTTTGATTCAAGAGCTTCCCACCATACCAGAAAGATAAAGCCGAGGAAGCAGTGTTGAAAAATTGTGAGCAAAACAGGCCCAAGCCTGAATACATTGAATGTCTGATGCTCTCCTTCCTAGGACCATTCAAGGTGGCAGCAAAAAGCCCTAGCATTCTTTTTTGGGAAGAGAAGGCAGTTATAGTTCTGTGGTTGATGACTGCTTCGCTGGCTAACTGGCTTCCTTCTTTTTGTGCCTTTTGTGCTTTTGCAGCCATGCTTTTCATCAAGACACTCCTGGCATAGAAACTCCCAATCACTACTGGCTGCACTGCTAGCATCACCACGGTTAGTCTCCATGTGAGCACAAGTGCTAGAACATAAGCAAATGAAGCCCCAAAAATTGCTTGAACTAACAGGGACATCCTGTCACCCACGAGCGAACGGACCATATTCGCCTCTGTGGATAGCCTTGCACAGATAGCAGCACTTGTATTCTCATCTTGATCAAACCACCCAATCTCAAAAGTCATGAGCTTTCCAAGCAAATTCTCTCGTACCCTGTTGGTCAACTTTTCTCCCATAATTGAGAAATTATAGTGCTGGATGACGTTGGAGAGAAAATGGAACGCACCAATCCCTAAAAATATGAAGGAGTATTCCCTGGATTTAGACCTCATCGCAGACTTGTCAGATTGGAAGTAATTTGATATGACGGAGCCAACAATGTAAGCGTTTATCGGTTGAACAGCTCCGGCTCCTATGGCGCCCAAGCATCCCAAGAGAGCTCGGCCCCGCTCGGGAGAGTTCATTTTTAGCAAACGCCACTGGGGAGGAGGGGGATAAGATGAGTTCTCTGAATCTTCTTCTAGACTTTCATCTGGATCATAAACGGAGAAAGAGTAGGGTGCGCTAAAGGGCGCACTAAAAGAAAGTCCAGGACTGAATGGATTAAGTGCTGGAGTGTTTTGACCACTTGATCTCATGCTTATTGGGCTTGGTGCAGCGTGCACCCAGGGATGACTTCTTCCCTCGATTTGGTAGCCGGAGTTGTTAGAATCTTCATTTTGAGTAGCCATTTGTTGCAGCGCAACCATCCTTAGGTACTCTCCACCCTTTCCGTTGTTCATTTGAATGAGTTCATCATGAGATCCTGATTCAACTACTCTTCCTGCTTGAAAAACCACAATAAGATTTGCTGTGCGAATTGTGGAGAGTCGGTGAGCAATGACGATTACCGTCCTCCCTGCAGAAACTTTATCAATTGCTTCCTGCACAGTCCTTTCAGATTGAGCATCCAGTGCACTAGTGGCTTCATCAAGGAGCAGGATTTTTGGATCTCTAATGAGAGCTCTTGCTATAGCAATTCGCTGCTTTTGACCACCAGACAATTGAAAGCCAAATTGACCAACCTATAGAATTTGTGATGGTCAGGGGTTACAACATATTACAAAGAGCGTACAATCAATTGGGATTTATACTAGACTACTAGTGCAAAGCAAAATAATTCAGTATTTCTCAGACAGAAACTCAAACTAACTTTTAGGAGATATTTTCTCTCAATGCATGTCCGGGGAGATAGTTTAGTGGCAATAACGCAGATTTCAATTTTTTACTATCTTTTCATATCTGGCATTTGCTTTTTTTGTTGGTTTTTGAGTTCGTGTTATACATTCCTACAGTTCATGCATATCCTTATTATGCTATTTTCCTCCATTTGATGAGTACCTACCAAAGTGTACAATTCCAATCATTTAGCTGAAGAGCTCGCCTAAAATAAAAAAAACAATAATATATCAATTAGCTGAAGAGCTTACCTGAGTCTCATACCCTTCAGGTAACTTGGCAATGAAATCATGTGCATTTGCAGCCTTAGCTGCTGTAATCACTTCTTCCATTGAAGCTCCTTCCTTCCCAAATAGGATATTGTCTTTTATTGTTGTAGCAAACAGGATTGGTTCCTGGTTAACCAGCCCCATTTGTGATCTCAACCATTTTAATTGAAGCCTCTTTATTTTGTGGCCATCGAGAAGAATTTCTCCTTCAATCGGGTCATAGAATCTCTGAAGCAGGGCAATGACTGTGGACTTGCCTGAGCCGCTGCCTCCCACAAGACCTACAGTCTTCCCTGATGGAGCCCTGAATGTGAGCCCTTGGAGTATCGGTGTATCAGGTCTTGATGGGTAGTTGAAGTATATGTCTTTGAATACAATTTCACCTCTCACATATGATAAGGCCTTCCCTTTCTTGTCTTCTGTGTCTATGGTTGGGACACGATCGATCATTTGGAAAATTCTAGAAGCTGCGGCCTTTGCCTCTGCAATGGAAGTTAGGTTTGGGAGTGCGCTCAACACACATCTGAAATAGCAAAATTGAACTTAAGAGTCACTGCATGATCAAGTTATTGAAGTCAATAACAGCTCGAGAATTACATACAGACCATTAAGAGGCCTGTGTGTATGACTGTATCAGTAAAGCACTAGTGAGTATGACTTACATTCCTCCCATGATGACACAGATTCCAGCTACAAAAATGGTACCACCTTTTTCTCCTTTTTCACTGACCAAAATAGTGCCGACCCAAGTCTGAAACGCCCAACCGACATATATGATACCCATGCTCCCCATCATCAGGCCTTTCGCAAAACCTTGCTTAAATCCAAGTTCCATCGTCTTCTGGAGTGCTTTGCTGAACTTATCAAGTGTTTGATTCTCTGCCACGTATGAATAAACAGTCCTAATTGAAGAAACTGCTTGTTCTGCAATCCCACCGGCAGCTCCATAAGACTCTATCATCTTCATGCCTACGTCCACCATGAGTTTGCCAAATACTAGTCCAGGAACGATGAATAGGAAGGAGAATGGAATAGCTGCCAATGCAAGTTTCCATGACAGGATGAACGAAACTAAAAGGCAGAAGGAGAAATTGGACACATACGCAAGGCAATCTGGTATCTGCAGGAGGAATGCTGAAATCTCAGTGAGATATGATATGAGAGAAATGAGAAATGGATGTTTAGCTTTTTCATTAGAGATGCATCTGGTTTTTTAGGTATTTCACATAAACTCCTTGAACAAAGGATCTTTAGCTGTTTCACTAAAACCTCTATTCTGGTTTCTTTCAAATTATGACAATGCTGTTGTTGAAACGAAAGAAATAAAATGATTTTTCAGTTGTACCTTCTCACAGATGGCAACTTGGATTGAGTTGGCATCCGAAGAAATGGTAGAGACAACTTTATAGGTAGTCGAAGAACCAGCTTCTTGAGTGTCGAAGAAGCCGACTTCTTGTCTGAGAACCGATTTGAGGTATGCCCTTCTCATTCGGGAAGTCTGTCTCTCAGCAGTTCTCGTCCAGCAAATTCCCTCTGTTCAAGTAGATAGCGGCGAATATTGCAGCATATCAGAACTTCACATTTCTCTTCATTGACAATATTTCGGTTTGTGGTTTGGTATAATACAGTGGATGCTATATGCTCAACTTACCGATAAAAGCGGAAAGTCCAACCCAAATTGCAACATACAGCAGCCTGAGAGCATACTGTGAAGTGACAAATATGGTTAGTAACATGAGAAATTCTTTTGGCAATTTAAGTTCTTAGACTTGTGCATAAGCAATTCTGATATTATTAGTTCTTAGAATCAAGAAAATTCAACCATGCTAATGGTTCTTTTGGTGTGAGTTTGCTCAGGAAGCAGACGGGCATGGATTTTTGTAGAATCAATTAGAGAAGTTATGAATAGGGAAAAAGCTGAAGAACTGATGATGGTTTAGCGGTTCTCGCTTATGGAAGAAATAAGAATGAGGGCTCAAACCCTCTGTTCTTAGAATAGGGAAAAAGCTGAAGAACTGATCATGGTTTAGTGGTTCTCTCTTACGGAAGAAATAAGAACGAGGGCTAAAACCCTCTGTTCTAAGGGATATGAATGTTTTCTAAGTATGTATCATGAAAGGTCTCTTTTATTGTTTGAACTAACCCGGTTAATCCTAACCATCTAACCCAATCGATATGTTTAAATCATGTGAAGAATAACTATGCAACGCTGGTGATATGGTATAATACTCCTTAGATTAATATGACAACAAAACTAAGTTTACCTTGTCCACCATCTTGTCCGTAACAGAAGCACCGGCCTTTCCAAATTGATTGATTACTGTGCTAAGAACATACATAGTCAAAGGGTACTGCATTCCATCTCCGATGCTACCCAAAGTTCCCAATAACATCAATAACCTGTCGAAGCCATCAGCGTACCTAAACATGCTATCTTTGCTCCCCATAATTCTATTTGCTTGACGTTCTCAACGAGCTGAACTTAAGATGTGCCTAGCATCTCAATTTCTGATCGATTACTGCAAACCACTTGCTTTTTATATGGGACTTACTCGGCCAATCCGCACTGTGCTGTTGCAGGCTGTTATCTCTTACATTGTCTCAACTCATTTACCCTTTTATGGCCATGCCAACTGGAGCAAGAGTGGATGCAATATAAAATCAGCCAGCGCTGTCCCTATGCTTTGGTCCGGGGCACGAGTGTTTGCATCCGTAGCTCCAATCAGTTTCTGTTATTTGGCATATTCCTTTGTTGCAGACCAATGTCACATTCCATTGGAAGAATCGTTGTCTGTTCTTGATGTTGGAATGTCGTACAATGCCATTTTGTTTTAGTGGTCTGCTACAAAGACAGTCCTTTGATTATCTTTGCTGGCATTTCATTGGTTGAATCGTTCTCTTTCATTAAACAGTAAAGCGGGGCACACAAGACAAGTCTCATAATTCTATTTTATTCAACTAGGATAGCGAGTAACTTGTTAGCTTCCGAAGTTAATATTTCTTTAAAAGATTCCCTTCAATTTCGGCCATGAAAAATACCTTCCTTTTGGCTTTGCCGTGACATCTGTATTCTGTACCTTTGGAAAGAATCATGTTTCCAAAAGGTTGGTGAATTTTTCAGCTCAAGGTCTGTTTCTTTCTGTTTCATTTGTAATTAGACTCATATGATTAGGCATTATTTGGCGGGTTTCTCTGTTGCTTAGGAGCCAGGTATCTTTGAATCGGCACAGGCCCAAAAGAAAATCTATTGCATGCTATATTACTTGCTGGAGGCAACAAGAAACTGCAATTCAAGTGCAGTAACTGGTCTCCTAAATCATTAATGATTTCACTTTGTTGCTAACATACGATCAACCTTGTCCCTCTTCATATACCTTCTTCTCATCGTAACTTGGACATCATCAGTCCTAGAGGACAAAGTGAACTACGTTGCTCAAATAGCTTACTGTAATTTTACTGGCTTATTTTAAGCTCAATTCAAATAGCTTGGGAAGCTTTGTATGAGTCGACCTCAAGCCTAGTAATAATTCCCTCATGCTACCGTCTGCTTAATAGCCTTAAGAACACGTCACTAGAAGAGATGACAGACTTCTAAAGTATATACATTGAAACACAGGCATATGATATGAACTGCAGATCATAAGGTAACGAGTAGGATAATAATCTCTTCTTAATGGATAGCCCTGAGATTTTACTCAATCACTGCAAGATTTAAAAGAAGGAACAAATCATATACGCCAAACCTTAATCCAACTATGATAGGGTTGACAGGCGACTACGTTTATTTTTGGGGTTTCAGCTGCACTAAAGATATTATGCATTGCAAATTTTCTTGCAATAATTGAGCGCATCCAATCAAATACATAAAAGGATCTAGATTTCTTCGTACTTGTATCTCTAAAGCTGCCTGCTATGGGCCATGCTTTGCTGTGGTGGGTGGCCCATTGGCACGGCACGTCACAGCCCACAGCATCATTGGGCCGAGCTGGGCACAACCCATGCGCCGGCATGGCCCAATAGTGTCGTGCTTCGTGCAGGGCCAGCTCGCCCTGGCAATTCGTTTGGAAACCTTTCAGTTGTTCCGCAATAACCCGACAGTTATACGGTTGCACGTTAGCTGCATCGATCAAATTTACTTAACATGATCAATAATTCCTTTGAAGCATCTATATAATCATCGAAGTCAATCTTCAGGTCCATAAATTCTAGAGTGTACTTTGATTTCGCACCCCAGGTAGCACGTAATGATGCCCCCACAGATCATTATATGACCATACTTGTGTTCCTCATTTACAATATCCGTGCCGTATAACGTCGGGGCTGATTCTAGCCAAATTTTATCATCACGCATGGCTGTTAATCTCCAGTCTTCGCATGCCTCGCTGGCGAAAAACTTGCTCAAATTTTTCAGAATCAATGTCGACTAGCGTATCCAGCATGTGACCCTCATCACCTATGCGCCTTCTTTTTGAACTTTTGAATGTAAAAGTTGGAACATTTGACCTTGAATTCGCATGCCATGCTGACTTGAATAAGGTGGAGTGTCTCTGCGGCTCCAAGTTTAGGACATGACAGAACCTTTGCTGTCCCAATCTGTGCCAATCGGCGTGTTCAACTTGACATTGACTTTCTAGCATGTGTTTGGAAGTCATCTGGGGGCATTGACATCTTCAGGCACTAACGGTATTCAGAAGACAAACTGAAAGGCATTATTAACAATTAACTGCCAAGGCATTTGGGCTAAGGGGTTGGACAGCATACGTACTCTCCACGTTGAAAGCTTTTAAGTCCAATTACTCCAATCGGAGCAACACAAGTTTATTCCTCCCCCAAGAAAATGGATCCAAGGCTGTACCGATATGCATACTCCGGAGATATTCACTCCCTCAAGGAGCTTCTCGATAGAGATCCAAGCATACTCCTGAGGCACACTCCTCAAGGAAACACAGCCCTCCATGTTGCCGCTAGATCTGGAAAAACGCCAGTTTTCGTAGAGATCTATAGTCGCTGCAAGTCCCTTCTCGTGCAGTCGAATTCTGAGGGAGACACTCCTCTGCATGTAGCTTCAAGGGCTGGCCATCTTTCTGTTGTGAAGTTTCTAGTCACAGAGATCACATCAACCTCTCCATTTCAGCTAACATTGAAAGCGGCTGCGACGGCAGGATTGAGATGCTAAGATGGGGAAATAAAAGGAACAACACATTCCTGCATGAGGTGATCAGAAACGGTCACTCACAAGTGGTTAGGTTGTTAATAAAGGCCGATTCTCAACTTGTACTTTACAAAAATTGTGCAGGAGAATCCCCGCTGTACCTGGCTGCTAGAGGGGGCGTGAAAGAGATTGTAAATTGGATCTTGACATCATGCCCTTTATCTGCTCACGGTGGATCAGATGGCCAGACAGCTTTGCACGCTGCTGTTTGTGCGAGACATTCTGGTAACTCTCTATTACTTGACTTGCAAGATAACATATGCTTCGATGTATCAACAGAGAAGCTTAGTTCTTGTACCGAGTTCAGCTATCATGTAATCTGATGTAGCAACAGAGTCTGGATATCTACTGATGGAAAATATGGCATATGCTTAGACAAAGTATGAATATTTTCAACTTACATTAGATATTGCTCAGTCCCAATACTTGCTAGTTCTGTGTGCTTTAAAGAATATTTTGTTCATGCATCACAGGTATAGTGAAACCCTCCTAAGATAAGAGTAGTATAGTCATACTATGAAGCTCATCTTTAGAAGAACAAGATGTGACCCAAGATATCACTCTTGTCTGCGTTCTACTTTTAGCGATATGGGGAGCTGCTGCTCTGTAATTTGATCAGAGAGTAGTAGGCACCGCCATGTCCCAAGGATATCAGCTCATTATGCAAGCCTCGTTCTGCAACTTTTCCATTCTTAATGACGGCGATTGAGTCAGACTTCTGTATAGTGGACAGTCTGTGAGCAACAACTATACATGTCCTATTGATCATCATCTTTTCCAGTGCTTCTTGAACTAAGCTCTCTGATACACTGTCGAGTGCACTGGTAGCCTCATCTAACAAAAGGATTGATGGATTCTTCAGTATAGCCCGAGCTAGTGCTATCCTTTGTTTTTGACCTCCTGATAGCTGAACTCCTCTTTCTCCACAATATGTGTCATACCCATCTTTCATGCCACTGCAATTTGAGAACATACACGATTAACAAATAAAACTACTAATTCTAAGTTGTCATACACAAGGAAAAACCGCTATCTGTTGCTATATCAGCCAAAAGGAATATCTGCTGCTATCAACGAAACAAAAATCATGAAATCTTCCCAGTTGAATTACAGCTTGGTGCCTCTATCAGGTTTTAAATCAACCTAGCAGATTCTGAAGAAAGGAGAAGATAGGATATTTTAGTCTAGAAAGTAAAAAAAATTTCAGCATATTTACTGATCTCACCATACCTTATGAATTCGTGGGCATTGGCAAGAACTGCAGCTTTTCTTAGCTCAGACTCTCTAGCATCTTCTTTTCCATAGGCAATATTTTCACGGATAGTTCCAGCAAAAAGGGTAGGCTCCTGACTGACTAGTGCAATGTGGGATCTCAACTTTTTCAGGTTGTGGTTCTTTATATCCTGGTCATCTATATGCACAGATCCTTTCATTGGATCATAGAATCTTTCTATAAGCCCAATTATGGTAGATTTGCCAGAGCCACTCTGCCCAACTAGTGCAACTGTTTTCCCTGCCCGAACTTTTAGGCTCAACCCATTGAAGATCATCTGATCAGGCCTTGCTGGGTATGCAAAGAAGACATTTCTCAACTCCACTTGACCCTTAAGACCCCTCTTTAATTCTCCTCCCCTGGGGGTGTCCGGGTCAATCTCAGTTCTTCTGTCGAGGATCATGAAAACTGACTTGATGGAATTGCTTCCTTTGGAAATATCAGACGTCATGCTTCCAGCCTCAGCGATAACATAAGAAGAAAACACCAATGTTAAATATGATTGAAAGAGGTGCTCTGGTGCTAGCAAACCTTGTGTCAGGAGCTTCCCACCATACCAGAAAGATAAAGCTGAGGAAGCAGTGTTGAAAAATTGTGAAGAAAACAGGCCCAAGCCTGAATGCACAGAATGTCTGATGCTCTCCTTCCTGGGACCACTCAAGGTGGCAGCAAAAAGCCCCAGCATTCTTTTTTGGGAAGAGAAGGCAGTTATAGTTCTGTGGTTGATGACGGCTTCACTGGCTAACTGGCTTCCTTCTTTTTGTGCCTTTTGTACTTTTGCAGCCATGCTTTTCATCAAGACAGTCCTGGCGTAGAAACTCCCGATCACTACTGGCTGCACTGCTATCATCACCAGGGCTAGTCTCCATGTGAGCACAAATCCTAGACCGTAAGCAAAAAAAACCCCGAAAAATGCTTGAACTAATAGGGACATCCTATCTCCCACGAGCGAACGGACCATATTTGCCTCTGTGGCTAGCCTTGCACAGATAGCAGCACTAGTATTCTCATCTTGGTCGAACCATCCAATCTCGAAAGTCATGAGCTTTCCAAGCAAATTCTCTCGTACCCTCTTGGTCAACTTTTCTCCCATAACTGAGAAGTTGTAGTGTTGGATAACATTGGAGAGAAAATGCAATGCACCAATCCCTAAAAATATTAAGGCATATTCCCTGGATTTAGACTTCATGACAGACTTGTCAGATCGGAAGTAATTCGATATAACGGAGCCAACAATGTAAGCATTTATTGGTTGAACAGTTCCAGCTCCTATGGCACCCAAGCATCCCAAGAGAGCTCGGCCCCACTCAGGGGTGTTCATTTTAAGCAAACGCCACTGGGAAGGACGGGGATAAGATGAGTTTTCTGATTCTTCTTCTAGACTTTCATCTGGATCATAAATGGAGAAAGAGTAGGGTGCACTAAAGGGTGCACTAAAAGGAAGTCCAGGACTGAATGGATTAAGTGCTGGAGTGTTTTGACCACTTGATCTCATGCTTATTGGGCTCGGTGCAGCATGCACCCAGTGATGACTTTGCCCCTCGATTTGGTAGCCAGAGTTTTTGGAATCTTCATTTTGAGTAGCCATTTGTTGCAGCTCAACCATCCTTAGGTACTCTCCACCCTTTCCATTGTTCATTTGAATGAGTTCATCGTGAGATCCTGATTCAACTACTCTTCCTGCTTGAAGAACTACAATAAGATTTGCTGTGCGAATGGTGGAGAGTCGGTGGGCAATGACGATTACCGTCCTCCCTGCAGAAGCTTTATCAATTGCTTCCTGTACAGTCCTTTCGGACTGAGCATCCAGTGCACTAGTGGCTTCATCAAGGAGCAGGATTTTTGGATCTCTAACGAGAGCTCTTGCTATGGCAATTCGCTGCTTTTGACCACCAGACAATTGAAAGCCAAATTGACCAACCTATAGAATTTGTGATGGTCAGGGGTTACAACAATTTAGAAAGAGCACACAATCACTTGGGATTTACACTAGACTAATAGTGCAAAAGAAAATAATTCAGTATATCTCAGACAAAAACTCAAACTAACTTTTAGGAGGGATTTTCTCTCATTGCATCTCAAGGGAGATAGTTTAGTGGCACAGCAGAAAAATGCTGATTTCAAATGTTTTACTATCTTTTCATCTCTGGCATTAGCTTTTTTTGTTGGTTTTTGACTGTGTTATACATTCCTACAGTTCATGCGTTTCTTATTTATGCTGTTTTCCTCCATTTGATGAATCTCTACTTATATATAAAGTAGAAAGAGATGTGAGAGCTTGGTACCGAAGTGTACAATTTCAATCTTTTAGCTGAAGAGATGACCAAAAAACAGAAACAAAAATTAGCTGAAGAGCTTACCTGAGTCTCATACCCTTCAGGTAACTTAGCAATGAAATCATGTGCATTTGCGGCCTTGGCTGCTGTCATCACTTCTTCCACTGAAGCTCCTTCCTTACCAAATAGGATATTGTCTTTTATGGTTGTAGCAAACAGAATTGGTTCCTGGTTAACCAGCCCCATTTGTGATCTCAACCATTTTAATTGAAGCCTCTTTATTTTGTGGCCATCGAGAAGAATTTCTCCTTCAATCGGGTCATAGAATCTCTGAAGCAGGGCAATGACTGTGGACTTGCCTGAGCCGCTGCCTCCCACAAGACCTACAGTCTTCCCTGCTGGAGCCCTGAATGTGAGCCCTTGGAGTATTGGTGTATCAGGTCTTGATGGGTAGTTGAAGTATACGTCTTTGAATACAATTTCTCCTCTCACATATGATAAGGCCTTTCCCTTCTTATCTTCTGTGTCTATGGTAGGAACACGATCGATCATTTCAAAAATTCTAGCAGCCGCAGTCTTTGCCTCCATAATGGAAGTTAGGTTCGGGAGTGCGCTCAACACACATCTGAAATAGCAGAATTGAACTTAAAAGTCATTGCATGATCAAGTCATTGAAGCCAATAACAGCTTGAGAATACCAGACAGACCATTAAGAGGCCTGTATGTGACTGCATCAATAAAGCGCTGTTAAGTATGACTTACATTCCTCCCATGATGACACAGATTCCAGCTACGAAAATGGCACCACCTTTTTCTCCTTTTTCACTGACCAAAATAGTGCCAACCCAAGTCTGAAACGCCCAACCGACATATATTATACCCATGCTCCCCATCATCAGGCCCTTCGCAAAACCTTGCTTAAATCCAAGTTCCAAGGTCTTCTGGAGTGCATTGCTGAACTTATCGATTGTTTGATTCTCTGCCACATATGAATAAACAGTCCTAATTGAAGAAACTGCTTGTTCTGCAATCCCACCGGCAGCTCCATAAGACTCTACCATCTTCATGCCTACGTCCATCATGAGTTTGCCAAATACTAGTCCAGGAACGATGAATAGGAAGGAGAATGGAATAGCTGCCAGTGCAAGTTTCCATGACAAGATGAACGAAACTAAAAGGCAGAAGAAGAAATTGGATGCATATGCAAGGCAATCTGGTATCTGCAGGAAGAATGCTCAACTCTCAGAGACACTTAATATGAGAAAAATGAGAAACGGATGTTAACTTTTTCATTAGGTACATATAGTTTTGTGGGTATTTCACACAATCTCTCTGACCGAAGGATCTGTAGCTGTTTCATTAACACCTCTGTTTCAGTTTCTTCCAAAATATGACGATGCTGTTGTTGGAACGAAAGAAATAGAATGGTCTTAAGTTGTACCTTCTCACAGATGGCAACTTGGATTGAGTTGGCATCTGAAGAAATGGTAGAGACAACATTATAGGTTGTCGAAGAACCAGCTTCTTGAGTGTCGAAGAAGCCGACTTCTTGTCTGAGAACAGATTTGAGGTACGCCATTCTCATTCGAGAAGTCTGTCTCTCAGCAGTTCTCGTCCAGCAAACCCCCTCTGCACAAGCAGATAGCGGCAGAAATTGCCGCATATCAGAACTTCACAATTTTCTCCATTGACTTATTTTGGTTCATGGTGTGGTAGAATACTGTGAATGCTGTATGCACAACTCACCAATAAAAGCAGAAAGTCCAACCCAAATTGCAACATACAGCAGCCTGAGAGCATACTGTGAAATGACAAATGTGGTTAGCAACTTGAGAGAATTTGGCAATTGAGTCCCTAGACTTGTGCAAAAGCAATTCTGATATTATTAGCTCTCAGAATCAAGAAAGTTCAACCATGCTAACAGTTCTTTTAGTGTGAGTTTGCTCTGGAAGCAGATGAGGAGACGAGAATTTATGAATAGGGAAAAATCTGAAGAACTGACGATGGTTTAGTGGTTCTCGCTTATGAAAGAAATAAGGAGGGGTAAAACCCTTAGTTCTAAGGGATATACATGTTTTCTAAGTATGTGTCGTGAAAAGTCTCTTCTTTATTGTGTGAACAGTTTATCCTAACCATTTAACCCAATCAATATTTTTAAACCATGTGAAGAATAACTTTGCAACGCTGGTGATGTGGAATAATACTCCTTAAAGTCGCATGACAACAAAACTGAGTTTACCTTGTCCACAATGTGCATGGAAACAGAAGTACCGGCCTTTCCATATTCAGTAATAACTGTGCTAAGTACATACATGGTCAGAGGGTACTGCAATCCATCTCCAATGCTACCCAAAGTTCCCAATAACATCAATAACTTGTCGAAGCCATCGGCGTACCTAAACATGCTATCTTTGCTCCCCATAATTCTATCTGCTCAACGTTCTCAACGAGCTGAACTTAAGATGCGCCTAAAATCTCAATTCTGATCTAGTACTGCAAACCACTTGCTTTTTATATGCGACTAACTCGGCCATTCTGCACTGTGCTGTTGCAGGCCGTTATCTCTTACATTGTCTCAACTTATTTACCCTTTTATGGCCATGCCAACTGGAGTAAGAGTGGATACATTATAAAATCAGCCGGCGCTGTGTCTATGCTTTGGTCCGGGCCATGAGTGTTTGCATCCGTAGCTCCAATCAGTTTCTGTTATTTTGCATATTCCTTTGTTGCAGACCAATGTCACATTCCATTGGAAGAATGGTTGTCTGTTCTTGATGTTGGAATGTTGAAAACCAGATCCGGATATTTTAGTTAGTAGTAGAAGTTCGATTATTTTGTTTCCAGATTTTCAGGATTTTGTTTGTTAGCTTTTAGGAATTTGTTTCCTAAGTTTTAGGGTGCTGATAATTTTTTTTTAAACCAGCAGATACTAACCAGATTTATGGCTAGTATATCTGGCTTTTTGCTTCGGTAGTTAGCACAAAATAATTAGCTGGACGAGCAGCTATAAAAGGCCAGAGGCCTCATGTAATTTCGTAGCCCTTTCTGGAGAATAAAACTTAGAACAATTTCTCCTAAATTTCTACATGGTATCAGAGCTCGATCTGGACCATTCTTTTCTACCACATCTCTGAGTGTTTCCACCATGACAAAATACCCTAGAGCCACCATGGCAAGCGAGGTTGAGAGTGAAACCTCAGACCCTAAAGCTCAGAACTCTCCTTTGATTACCCAACCTATCAATGTATCCGAAGGGGGAACTCTTCTCATCACCGGTCATAAACTTACCGGTCACAACTTCAATCAATGGTCCCATTCTGTCATGATTTTCGTTTGCGGAAAAGGTAAAGAAGATTACCTAACTGGAGTTGCCGTACAACCTGAGGCGACAAGCCCAAACTATCGAACATGGAAGGTGGAAAATAACATGGTGATGTCCTGGCTGCTGAATTCAATGACGAATGAAACAGGGGAGAATTTCATGTATTACCAAACAGCTAAGGAGATTTGGGATGCTGTTCATGAAACTTATTCCAACAAAGATAACACCTCAGCCATCTTCGAGATTAAGGGCATTCTTCATGATCTAAGGCAAGGGGAATCTTCATCACCGATTATTTTAACCAACTCATGCGTCATTGGCAGCAACTTGACATGCTTGGAAGATATGATGTGGAGTTGTCCCGAAGATAGCAAGCGGTACAAGCAGATTCAAGATCGAGAACGCATCTATAAATTTCTGTTAGGCTTGAATCAAGAGCTTGACGAGGTACGTGGACGAGTTCTGAGCATAAAGCCCCTACCTAATGTACGAGAAGTTTTTGCGGAGGTCAGGAGAGAAGAGACTCGGCGAAAGGTGATGCTTGGTTGTTCAAAAAAACCAAACCAATCCAGAAAATTCTGCCTTAATAGCCCGAGGATCTCAACCATCCTACAGTCGAGGCACTCAATCAAACAACAACAACCAGCGAAAGGGTGGTCGTCCGTGGTGTGATCATTGCAAACGGACAGGTCACACAAAAGACACATGCTGGAAACTTCATGGTCGGCCAGATGATTGGAAGCCATCAGCCTCACGTCCTACTCAAGACCGGGAGAGCAGAAGCAACATAGTCCAAACCGAAACAAACGCTTCGGTAGATTCGAGTCCCTTCAACAAAGAGCAACTGGAGATGCTGAAAAAGCTGCTACAGGAATCAGTTCAGAAGGCAACCCGTTCAGAAGGGGTTAGTACAGCAACAATAGCTCAACGAGGTAATTCTCTAAATGCCTTTAGTGCTAAACAGGAGAAAATCACCTCTTGGGTTGTAGACTCGGGAGCATCCGACCACATGACCGGAGATATCACAGTGTTCAACGAGTACAATCCATGTCAAAACGGCACTAGCGTTCGAATTGCTGATGGTTCTTGCTCAAAGGTGGCTGGTATTGGATCAGTGGTTATTTCAAAAGATATAACACTGAATTCAGTATTATTTATTCCCAAACTCAGTTATAATCTTCTCTCCATCAGCAAGTTAACCAAAGATTTAGGCTGCACTACTAAATTTTTCCCACACTCATGTGAATTTCAGGTTTTGAACTCGGGGATGACGATTGGCAGTGCTGAGATGGATGCGGGCCTCTACCTTCTGCGAGTTAATGCCTCAGAATGGAAAAACAAGAAGATGTCATGTGTAGCATCTCGTGCTAAGGAAGAGAGTGAAGTAAGATTGTGGCACTATAGGTTAGGTCATCCAAATTTCTCGTACTTAAAAAGGTTGCTACCTTCTTTGTTTAATAAAGATTCAATAAAATTTCAATGTGAGGTGTGTCAATTATCCAAACATACTCGCAGTTCATACCCTTTGCAACCTTATAAGTCTTCTCATCCATTTCACATGATTCATAGTGATATTTGGGGACCTTCTCGTGTCAATAATATTACTGGTTCTAGGTGGTTTGTTACCTTCATTGATGATCACACAAGACTCACTTGGCTTTTTCTGATGAAAGAAAAATCAGATATTGGCCGAATTTTTCAAACCTTCAACCAAATGATCCAAACCCAATTCAGCACAAAAATCCAAGTTTTCAAAACGGATAATGGGAGAGAATACTTTCACTCACAGCTCGGGTCATATCTAAATAGCCAAGGTATCATACATATTAGCTCTTGTGTAGAAACTCCACAACAAAATGGAGTGGCGGAGAGAAAAAATAGGCATCTTTTGGAAGTCGCCCGTTCTCTTATGATAGCCACTCATGTTCCTAAACATTTTTGGGGAGAAGCAGTGTTAACAGCCACATATCTCATTAATCGTATGCCTTCCCGTGTTCTAGATTTCCGAACGCCATTTCAAAGGCTACTTCATACCTACCCACATATTCGTTTTGCCTCACATATCCCACTCAAAGTATTCGGCTGCACAACATTTGTTCATATAAATCAGCAACATCGCAGCAAGCTAGATCCTAAGTCCCTCAAATGTGTGTTTCTAGGATACGCTCCAAATCAAAGTGGATATAAGTGTTATTGCCCACAAACAAAGCGTTTTTATACCACCATGGATGTTACCTTCTTTGAGCACCAGCCCTTTCACTCCAAAAATATCATTCAGGGGGAGAGTTGTGAGGAATATTATTTTTGGGACACTTCTCAGTCATTCGGGTCACAACAAACAAATTCTCCTTGTCTTCCGTATCTACCCATTCCAACATCCGAGAGTCATCCAACATCCGAAAGTCTTTCGTGTCTACCCATTCAAGATGCTACACAAGACAAAAATAAAGAGGTAATTGTCTATTCTAGGCGAAAGACTCAAAAGGAGTTGGAGAACCGTACTACATCAAGGCCGGCTCAAGAGACAGATCCGAGTTCAAGACCCACAGTCGATGAAGGTAATACTTCTGCAAACTCAGAAAATTCTGCTGTACTTGATGATCTTAATCAGCCTATTGCTCTTAGGAAGGGGAAGAGACAGTGCACTCAACATCCCATTAACAACTTTGTGTCTTACGAAAAGTTGTCTCCGAAATACAAGGCATTTGTTTCAACGTTGAGCGACATTCAAATTCCCAAGAATATCCATGAGGCACTTGCTCAATCTGAGTGGAAAAGAGCGGTTCTTGAGGAAATTCATGCACTTGAGAAGAATAAGACTTGGGAATATACAGAATTGCCAGCTGGGAAGAAATTGGTGGGATGTAAGTGGGTCTTTACAGTTAAGCACAACGCCGATGGTAGTGTTGATCGTTTCAAGGCAAGGCTGGTCGCTAAGGGATTCACACAATCATATGGAATAGACTACGAAGAAACCTTCGCTCCGGTGGCCAAACTAAACTCCATCCGAGTGTTGCTCTCTTTTGCAGCTAACTTGGACTGGCCCCTACAGCAATTAGACATAAAGAATGCCTTCTTAAATGGGGAATTGGAGGAAGAAGTCTTTATGGAGGTCCCACCTGGAATTGACACTAAAGAGAGCTTCAACAAGGTGTGCAAACTCAAGAAATCCCTATACGGCCTAAAGCAATCACCTCGTGCTTGGTTCGAGAGGTTAACAAGGGTCGTTGAGAAGCTGAACTTCACTCAATGTCAAACAGATCATACAATGTTTGTCAAGAAGTCAGATGAAGGTAGAAGAGCAATAATGATCGTATACGTCGATGACATAATCCTAACTGGTGACAATCTGGAGGAGATTGGAAAACTGAAGAATATCTTGGCACAAGAATTCGAAGTTAAAGACCTAGGTCAACTCAAGTACTTCCTAGGTATGGAGGTAGCTCGGTCACGGAAAGGGATTGCAATTTCCCAACGTAAGTATACTCTTGATCTCTTGAAGGAAACCGGTATGCTTGGGTGTAAACCAGCTGACAACCCCATGGATTCTACCTATAAAACTGAGATGGAAGAAGAAGGACCATTAACGGACAAAGGGAGATATCAAAGATTAGTTGGCAAACTAATCTATCTCTCACATACTCGGCCAGACATTGGTTTCGCAGTAAGTATGGTTAGTAGATACATGAACCAACCAACAGAGAAGCACCTGCAGGCAGTTTTTCGTATCTTACAGTACCTGAAGAGAAGTCCTGGAAGAGGGCTTTACTTTAAGAAAACAGAGGAGAGAAACGTGGAGATTTTCATGGATGCAGATTGGGCTGGATCTCTCACGGACCGAAGGTCAACAACAGGGTATTGTACCTTTGTATGGGGCAACATGGTTACCTGGAGAAGCAAGAAGCAACCCGTTGTTGCTAGGAGCAGCGCTGAAGCGGAGTTTAGAGCAATGTGTCAAGGAATATGTGAAGGCATGTGGCTGAGAAGAGTCTTAAATGAACTAGGATTCACTAATACCGATCCTATGTTATTATTATGTGACAACAAAGCTGCTATTGAGATTGCCAAGAACCCGGTTCATCATGATAGAACAAAACATGTGGAGATCGATCGACATTTCATCAAAGAAAAACTTGATGAAGGAATATTGAAGCTCTTGTATGTTCCAACCAATCATCAAACAGCGGATATACTGACCAAGGTTTTATCCAGAAATAGTTTCGAGACTCTAAGGTGCAAGCTGGGTATGATAGACATTCATAACCCAGCTTGAGGGGGAGTGTTGAAAACCAGATCCGGATATTTTAGTTAGTAGTAGAAGTTCGATTATTTTGTTTCCAGATTTTTAGGATTTTGTTTGTTAGCTTTTAGGAATTTGTTTCCTAAGTTTTAGGGTGCTGATAATTTTTTTTTAAACCAGCAGATACTAACCAGATTTATGGCTAGTATATCTGGCTTTTTGCTTCGGTAGTTAGCACAAAAAAATTAGCTGGACGAGCAGCTATAAAAGGCCAGAGGCCTCATGTAATTTCGTAGCCCTTTCTGGAGAATAAAACTTAGAACAATTTCTCCTAAATTTCTACATGGAATGTTGTACAATGCCATATTTTATAAGTGGTCTGCTACAAAGACAGTGCTTTGATGATCTTTGCAGGCATTTCATTTGTTTAATCATTCTCTTTCATTAAGTAGTAAAGTGGGGCACACAAGACAAGTCTCATAATTCTTTTTTATTCAACTAGGATAGCAAGTATCTTGTTATCTTCCGAAGTTAATATTTCTTTAAAAGATTCCCTGCAATTTCGACCATGAAAAATACCCTCCTTTTGGCTTGGCCGCAACATCTGTATTCTGTACCTTTAGAAAGATTCATGTTTCCAAAAGGTTGCCGAATTTTTCAGCTCAAGGTCTGTTTCTTTCTTTTTCATGTTGTCATTAGTCTCATATGATTGAGCATTATTTGGTGGGTTTCACTGTTGCTTAGGAGCGAGGTATCTTTGAATCGGCACAGGGCCAAAAGAAAATCTATTGCATGCTATATTACTTGCTGCAGGCAACAAGGGACAGCAGTTCAAGTGCAGCAACTGGTCTCCTAAATCATTAATGATTTTACTTTATTGTTAACATACGATCAACCTCGTCCCTCTTCATATACCTTCTTCTCATCATCAGTCCCTCTTCATAACTAGGACATCATCAGTCCTAGGGGACAAAGTGAGCTACGTTGCTCAAATAGCTTACTGTAATTTCACTGGCTTATTTTAAGCTCAATTCAAATAGCTCGAGGAGCTTTGTATGAGTTGAGCTCAAGCCTAGTAATACTTCCGTCGTGCTACCATCTACTTAATAGCCTTAAGAACGTGTCACTAGAAGAGATGACAGACTTCTAAAGTATATACATTGAGACACAGGCATATGATATGAACTGCAGAGAATAAGGTAACAAGTATTATAATAATTTCCTCCTAATGGATAGCCGCGAGTTTTTACTCAATCACCGCAAGATTTAAAAGAAGGAACAAAGCATATACGCCAAAGCTTTTTCCGACTGTAATAGGGCTGACAGGCGACTGCTTTCATTTTTGAGGTTTCCGCTGCATTAAAAAAAAAAAAAAAACATGCAAACTCCGGTGATATTCACTCCCTCAAGGAGCTTCTCGATGGAGATCCGAGCATACTCCTCAGGCACACTCCTCAAGGAAACACGGCCCTCCATGTTGCCACTAGATCTGGACAAAGATCTGTTTTCGCGGAGATCTATAACCGATGCAAGTCCCTTCTCATGCAGCCGAATTCCGAGGGAGACAGTCCACTGCATGTAGCTTCAAGGGTTGGCCATCTTTCTGTTGTGAAGTTTCTAGTCACAGAGATCACATCCACCTCTCCGTTTAAGCTAGACATTGAAAGCGGCTGCGACCACAGGTTCGAGATGCTAAGATGAGGAAATAAAAGGAACAATGCAGTCCTGCACGAGGCGATCAAAAAGGGTCACTCACAAGTAGTTAGGTTATTAATAAAGGCTGATTCTCACCTTGTACTTTACGAAAATTGTGCGGGAGAATCCCCATTGTACGACGCTGCTAGAGGGGGCATGACAGAGATTGTAGATTGGATCTTGACATCATGCCCTTTATCTGCTTACGGCGGATTAGATGGCCAGACAGCTTTGCACGCTGCTGTGAGCACGAGACATTCTGGTAACTCTCTATTTCTTGACTTGCAAGATATCATGCTCTAAAGTATTAACAAAGATGCTAAGTCCCGTACCGAGTTCAACTATCATGTAATCTGATGTAGCAATAGAGTCCAGTACCTGCTGATGGAAAATTTGGCATATACTTGTACGAATCTTTTCAACTTCCATTAGGTATTGCTCAGTCCCAATACTTGCTAGTTCTGTGTGTTTTAAAGAATATTTTGTTCATGCATCACAGGTACAGTGAACACCCTCCTAAGAGCAAAACCAGAGCTGATCAAAGAAGCTGACCACCATGGCAGGACACCTCTTTACTATGCAGCTTTTTCTGGATGCCACAAATTGGTCCAGCAATTACTGGACCTCGACATCTTGAGTGCACATTTAGTGGACAGAGATGGTCTTTCGTCACTTCATGCAGCAGCAAGCAATGGTCATGCCAAGTTATAAAAGAGATTATTCGGCAATGCCCAGATGCTGGAGAATTGGTGGACCTAAAGGGGCAAAACATTCTTCATGTTGCAGTCTTAAGCGGGAAAGCAAACGTTGTCAGATGCATATTGGAAACTATCGCGCTCGAGGGCTTAATAAATCAGCCTGATCACAACGGCAATAGTCCTTTCCATCTAACTACCATGGAAAGGAGAAGTTGGATCGCGGCTTACCTATTGTGGGATGCGAGAGTTGATCAAACAGCCCGGAACAAAAAAGGTGAAACTGCCTTTGACATAGATGAGCCAACCAAGGAACCACGCGTAATTCCCTCGGTAGGTATACTATTGCCAGGCCGTAATTCACTGAAATTTGTGAAATCTCCTGACTATGATTTGTAATCTAAATTGTCTTCATTTTGCTTGAAGGTCTCGATGCTGAATTGTCGACAACTACGCCTCCCACATCTTTGGAATCTCCGAGGAGGATTTCTCCCCTGTACAAATGAAGAAAAAGCTGGTGTCTTGAAGTCAAAACAAACTTACAAGCAAATTGTCGGACCTTATTGATAGTCGCAACACTCATCACAACCGTGACGTTCACAGCGGCTTTCACAATGCCCAGCGGTTATAACAACAACACCGGCCCAGGCCAAGGAGTAGCCTTTCTCCGGTCAAGTGGTTATCTCAAGTAGTTCATCATCTTCGACACTGTCGCGATGACCTACTATATAACGGCCTCTTCCGTCATAGTCTGGGGTGCTGCTTTCGGCAAGAGACATTATGTGCATTTCTACGTGATTGCGGCTGTGCTGACATTCATCGCGCTGCAGTCAACTGCTATATCATTCAATATGGGTCTCGTGGCTATGTTACCTGATTGAAATTTTCCTTCTAATGTGAAAATGATTTGTTAAAATAGTATATAACGTATTTTGACCTTAAAGTTTGTTATATGCTGGAGTTAGGTTAAATAAGTTTTGGTTTGGTCTTACAACTGTGTGCATAGTGGTTGTTCAACCTACTTAGAAGAGATACGCACTAATTATTAAGCTGTGATTACTCACCTCTTTCTTTCCCCAATCTTTTCGGGTTCCCTGGTTAGTAGACATTAGAGTGAGAGCGATATCAATGGGGATTTTTTGGGAATTTGTTCTTTGGTTGTGGTTTTATGCTGCGTCCTTTAGGTAGAAGGACGGCCATGTTATCTCTCGTCCTAGTAGGTTTTGGTGTGTTACAGTTTTTTCTTTTTCTTCTTTCGGCCTAACAACACCCAAGCATTGTTTCCTTGTATGCTATTAATTGTTCTATGAAACCTGGAGCTGTTTCCAGAAGATCTCAGAGCCACCATCCGACAGAATGACTCCATCTCTCAATTTTTGGACATAAAATAGTCTGATGAATAACGATCAAACACTAACACAGTCACACGATTGATCTTAGCTCTCCCATCAATTTCACTTGGTACCTTAACACTTCTATTCAAAGCAAATTAGAACAACGCTGAGATTTGGCTCTCCAAACCATCCCTCCAACGCGTTAAACTTGGTATTGACTTCCCAGACAGATTTCAATGTCATTCAGGCATGCCCTCAAAATCACTTTAAATACTGCAAAGGGCCGGTCCGTACAATATTCAGTTAAACTGGAAAGAACTATCAACAACTAAATGCCAAAATCTTTTGGCAAAGGAGCTACCGGTCCGACATGGATACATCACTTGTAATATACATTTTACGGAAAGATACTGCAATTTAACGGTACTTTTGGATCATAGTTTGAGGTTGAAATCCTTATACTAGAGATCAAATCCGCACAGTGCAGCTCTTTGCCGAACCTGTTTGACCATATGCGACACAGAAAAGTCCTAAACAACAGAAGGTTTGGGCCGGGGCCAGTATACGGTATCAGTCTTTTAACATGGGTTTAATAAGTTATACCAACATGGGTTTAGTAAGTTATACCTGATTATGAGCTTAACAGGTCGCGAGACACCTAGACCCCGGGCCTAAAGTGCGAATAGGTTGAAGATCATGTAGTTCTAAATCATGGGTGAACTTAAAAAAGAATTTTTGGGCCCGTTGTTGAGTCGGATCAAGTCCGCTTTAAATCATATACAAGTTTCAGCCTCAACCATTAATTTTGCCCATAAGGTTGATTATGGAGCAATGCATGGCCAATCTGCATGATATTATACTTTCTTTTTGGTGTAATCAAGAATTTCCATTTAATTATAATTCTTTAACATTGTACCATATGTCACAAAAACAGAAAAAAAAAAAAAAACCTTGTATCATATGACGTCCAAGAATGAGTTTTTGGCAATTTGGTACATGACGTCCAAGAATGAGCTTTTTGCAGAAGATCTCAGAGCCATCATCCAACAGAATAACTTCATCTCTCAACTTTGGGACATTAAAAAAAGTCTGATGAATCTGATCAAACACTAACACAGTCAAATGGTTGACCTTGACTCTTACATCAACTTCACGTGACACCTTAACACTTCTATTCAAAGTAAAACTGTGGTGATTTGCTTTTCCAGAGTCTAGACTCAAGATGTCATCGCCAACGAAAAATTAGAACAACGCTGAGATTTGGCCCTCTAACGTGTTAAATGTGGCATTGGCTTCCCAAATGCATTTCGAAGTCATTGAGGCATACCCTTGAATTCACATCAGATGTTGCCGGGCAAGTTAAGGGAAAATCAACAACAAATGCCAAGATCTTTTGGTGAAGGAGATCTGCAGGTCCGACTTGTTATATCATATTGCCAATATAATTTTATTGGAGTACATCGGGCTTCGTTTGTTTCGCGAAAAATATATAATTTGAAAAATATTTTCCTAAAAATGATTATTTGTATCGCTTACAAAAATATATGAACAAGAAATATTTTCATCGTTTGCTAAAATATTTAGACATAAATTATTATTGACAATGAAAATATTTTCCATTGACCAATTATTTCAAGCGATACAAACGATCATTTCTATAAAAATATTTTTCAAATTATTCGTTTTTCGCGGAAAACGCGGTCTTTATGGAAAATACCGGCAGAAAAGGTATTAGACATCGGAAGGTTTGGGTCACGCTCAGTATATGGTATCGGACTTTTAACACGAGTCTAAGCTAAAACTGATCATGAACTTGGCAAGCCATAAAAGACTATTATTATAAACCATATACAAGTTTCATTTGAAATATAGTTCTATAACTTTATATTGCCACACATACAAAAAACGGACTTCGTACCATATGACGTCAGAGAATGAGTTTTTGGCAATTTGGTATATGACGTGCCATCCACTAGCAATTAACTCTGGAAACTTACTGTATAATTATATTGAACCCAAAAGCTTAGTTTCTTATTGATTACTACATTGCTAATCGATCGATCTTGAAATGATGAATTAGATGATCCATACCCGCTCAACTCACTGCAGAACACGTCAGGGCCGATTCTAGCCAAATTTTCCTATCACCCCCGGCTGTCAATCTCTAGTCTTCGCGCGCCTCGCCTGCGGAATATACTTGACCAGAATTCCGAGAATTTTCTAAGATCAACGTCAACTGGCAAATCCAACACGTATTCGCCTTGTACTTCAACTTCTGGACGTAAATGGTGGAGCATTTGACCTTGAATTTGCATCAACCTCACTTGATACATTACTTCGTTCAGTTGAAGCAAACTTATTCTCCAGGTTGGAAGCTTCAAGTCGAATTACTCCCGTTTCCAGAAACCGCTATCATCATCTATACAATCGGAGCAACATAAGTGTATTCCTCTCCCAAGAAAATGGATCCGAGGCTGTACCGATATGCAAACTCCGGTGACGTTCACTCCCTCATGGAGCTTCTCGATACAGATCTGAGCGTACTCCTGGGGCGCACTCCTCAAGGAAACACGGTCCTCCATGTTGCCGCTAGATCTGGACAAAGACCAGTTTTCACGGAGATCTATATTCGATGCAAGTCCCTTCTCATGCAGCCGAATTCCGAGGGAGACACTCCTTTGCATGTAGCTTCAGGGGCTGGCCATCTTTCTGTCATGAAGTTTCTAGTCACAGAGATCACATCCACCGCTCCTTCTCAGCTAGACATTGAAAGCGGCTGCGACCGCAATTTCGAGATGCTAAGACAGGGAAATAGAAGGAACAACACAGCCCTGCATGAGGCGATCAGAAATGGTCACTCACAAGTGATTAGGTTGTTAATAAAAGCCGATTCTCACTTTGTACTTTACGAAAATAGTGCGGGAGAATCCCCATTGTACATGGCTGCTAGAGGGGGCATGGAAGAGATTGTAAATTGGATCTTGATATCGTGCCCTTTATCTGCGAACGGTGGATCACGTGGCCAGACAGCTTTGCACGCTGCTGTGAGTGCGAGACATTCTGGTAACTCTTTAGTCCTTGACCCGCAAACAATTATGCGCCGAAATATTAACAAAGATGCTAAGTTCTTGTACCGAGTTCAACTGTCATGTAATCTGATGTAGCAATAGAGTCCCGGTATATACTGATGGAAATTTGGCATATACTTATCCAAGTATGAATCTTTTCAACTTCCATTAGGTATTGCTCAGTCCCAATACTTGCTAGTTCTTTGTTTTAAAGAATTTGTCGTTCATGCATCACAGGTATAGTGAAAACCCTCCTAAGAGCGAAACCGGAGCTAATCAAAGAAGCTGACCACCATGGCAGGACACCTCTTTACTATGCAGCTTTTTCTAGATGCCACAAATTGGTCCAGCAATTACTGGAGCTCGATATTTCGAGTGCGCATTTAGGCTCCGTTCGTTTGGCGGAAAATATTCTCCCGGAAAATATTCTCCGGGTTTTCCGGTGTTCGGGGGGCGGAAAACGTTTTCCGTGGGAAAATATTTTCCTTCCCCCCTCACAAAATAGCCTAAGTCTACGGAAAATGACTTCTGCTTCTTCAAAAGCAGAAATCATTTTCCGGAGCTTCTTTTTCTTCTTCTTCACTAAGGTCGCCGGCCGCCGCCGCCGCCGGCGAAAAATATTTTCCGAAACTTTTTCATATTGATCACCGAACACCGGAAAATTATGTTCCGGGAAAACATTTTCCAGGAAAATGACTTCCGGGAAAATATTTTCCAAAAGGAGAATATTTTCTGTCAAACGAACGGAGCCTTAGTAGATAGAGATGGTCTTTCATCACTTCATGCAGCGGCAAGTAATGGTCATGCCAAGGTTATAAAAGAGATTATTCGGCAATGCCCAGATGCTGGAGAATTGGTAGACCTAAAGGGGCAAAACATTCTTCATGTTGCAGTCCTGAGCGGGAAAGTAAATGTTGTCAGATGCATATTAGAAACTGTCGAGCTCGAGGGCCTAATAAATCAGCTTGATCACAACGGCAATACTCCTTTGCATCTAACTATCCTGGAAAGGAGAAGTTGGATAGCGGCTAACCTATTGTGGGATGCGAGAGTTGATCAAACAGCCCGAAACACAAATGGGGAAACTGCCTTCGACATAGATGAGCCAACCAAGGAAGCACATGTTATTCCCTCGGTAGGTATACTATTGCTAGGCCGTAATTCATAGGAATGTATGAAATCTCTGGACCATGATTCGAAATCTAAATTGTCTTCATTTCGCTTGCAGGTCGCGATGCTGAATTGGCGACAACTGTGCCTCCCACATCTTCGGAATCTCCGAGGAGGATTTCTCCCCTGTACAAATGAAGAAAAAGCTGGTGTCTTGAATTCAGAACAAACTTACAAGCAAAATTGTCAGACCTTAATGATGGTCGCGACACTCATCACAACTGTGTCGTTTGCAGCGGCTTGCACAATGCCCGGCGGTTATAACAATAACGCCGGCCCGGGCCAAGGAGTGGCCCTTCTCCGGTCAAGCAGACATCTCAAGTGGTTCATCATCTCCGACACCATCGCGATGACCTGCTCTATAATGGCCTCTTCCATCATACTATGGGGCGCTGCTTTCGGTAAGAGACCTTACATGCGTTACTACGTAACTGCGGCTGTGCTGACATACATTGCACTGCTGTCGACTGCTATATCATTCAATACGGGTCTCGTGGCTGTTTTACCTGATCAAACATATATCCACACCATAGCTTACATAGTCGGCTGGGTCTTCCATATTAGCACCTGCTGGTTTCTTTTCAGACTGGCACAGATTTTTTCCTACTCTGAGATCTGCCTCTCCTTGATTTCCCGCCTCAGAAGGCTCAAGCGTATCATCAATTCCCACATAGTAAACAAATGACATTCTTCGGCAATGTTATATTGGAGAAATTACTGACAACTTTTCCCCTTGTGGATTTAGTGAAATCTGCAGGAAAACATCACTCGATTTTTTAATTTTTTTCTTTTTTGGGATTGTTTGCTTACATGCTTTTACTAATTCTGTGACACCTAGAGCTGTTTCCAGAAGATCTCAGAGCCATCATCCATGATCCAACAAAATGGCTTCATCCCTCATTTTTTGGACATAAAACAATCTGATGAATTATGATCAAACACAAACACCGTCAAATGATTGACCTCGACTCTTACATCACTTTCACTTGACACCTTAACACTTCTATTCAAAGTGAGACTGCGCTGATTTGATTGTCCAGAGTCTAGACTCGAGATGTCATTGTCTGTGGAAATTCGGGAAAAACTCTGAGATTAAACCATCCCAAACGTGTTAAACTTGGCATTGACTTCCCGAATGTGTTTGAAAGTCATTGAGTCATACCCTCGGATTCACATTAGATACTGCGGTGCCGGTACTCACGTTTTTCATAAACTGCAAGGAAAAATCAACAGCTAACTGCCAAGATGTTTTGGCAAAGGACTTGCGGGTCCGACTTGGATATATCCTCTTGCTAGTATCATTTTACTATAAATACATCTTTATGAAAGATATCGGCATTTAATGGATATTTTTGGATCGAAGTTTGAGATCGAAATCCCCTTTGACAACGGAAGGTCTGGGCTGAGCCCGGTATTTGGTATCGGATTTTTAACACAAGTCTAAGTTAGACCTGATTGTGAGCCTAGCAGGACACAAGAGAGCTAGACCCGAGGCCTAAAGTATGAACGGGTGGAAAATCTAATAGCTTTAAAAATCATGGACGGACTTAGAAAAGGATCGTTAGGCCTGTTGTTGAGCTGGATCGAGTCTAATCTAAACCATATACAAGTTTCATTTTCAACCATCAATTGGGCACATGAGGTTGATTATGGAGCATGGTCAATTCAATCTGAATGATATTCCCTTTTTTGGGTGATTTTAGTTGGTCACCTGTGCACCAACCAAACGAAATTTTAGGACACTTTCCACTCAAATTGGATCAACGTAGCTAGTACAAAAAAAAAAAATCAAAATTTGCAAATTTGCACCGCAACGATGTGATAAGTACAAAATATCGTAAATTTTATTTTCCTTTATATTACGATATTCTATAAAAAAAAATTATTACGTTTGATTGTAATCAATCATACATGATGTCATAAAATGTAAATTTCTTTAATTTTGCAACGTTGTGCCACCATTGACAACTTTTTATTGTATTCGAGTGCAAACATATTATAAAGTATTGGAAAATATGAATTTTTTAAAATTACTTTTATGATAGTATACAAAGAAGTTCTGACGTTACGCCATAAGTGCAAAGTTTTTTATAAAATGTGAATTTTTTTAATTTAAATTATTACTTAATCTCATTGTAAATGAATGTCATGAGTTCCTTGTTTTATTTTATGAGATATTGATATTGCGACATTTACCAAAACATAAACGGCGTGCAATGTGAATATTTTTGTTTTGTGAGCATTATGACATTTTATCATAACAAAGAGTAGACTGAAAAAAAAAAGATCACACTGTAAAGTTGTTCATAGAGAGAGATGGGATGAAGATTGAGCTTCAAGAGTAGCTAGGAAGAACAAATAATGGGCTTTCCATTTTTCATTTTTCTTCTCAATGAATTGTTTTATGTTTTATCAACAGAGTAAAACAATGAACTTCCACTAGCCAGTTCTTCTTGGAATGAAACTTGTGATCAACGTAGCACCGTTCGAAACTCGGTCTAATGGCACCGTCATGCTAGCAAGACTCCATCTCAAAGTATTAACGATCATATAGAGTACAGAAGATGTTGCATGACGAAAAAAGCAGGCTAATTGTCCAATTTGATCTACAATATGATCATGTATGAACGAGTTAAGGTTGGTGGATCTTTGCTCTCAACTAAAAATAAATTATGGAAACTCAATATATATTGAATTAAAGACCGGTTCCATAGAAACACAACATTTAATTGAGAAAAGTTACGGTTAATAAGAAAAGTTACCGACACATAGACTATAAAGTGTTACGAATTGCAAAGGAAAGTTATGATTACTCAAATATTTTACTAACAATAAAATAAAAGAAATTTACCATTAACTTATTGGGCCAAGCTTGGCACAACCCCTTGGGCCGGCACGGTCCCAATAGTCTCATGCTTCTTGCCGGGCCACTATGGCCTGGTTATTCTTTTAGAACCTTTTTAACTGTTCCATAATAGCCTGACAGTTATATGGTTGTACATCAACTGCAGTTACAATTGCCACATCGACGAGCAATTTTACTTAATATAATTGATGATTCCTTTTAAGTTTTGGTCTAATCACCAAAGTCAATCTTAGGTTCGCAGATTGGATGGCATATTTGGATTCCACACCCCACAGACAATGATTGGCTAGAATCAGCCCTGTGATTCTAGCCAAATTTTCTGATCACCGGCGGCTATTAATTTCCAGTCTTCGCATGCCTCGCGCTGGTGGAAGATTTAGTCAAAATTTTGAGAATTTTCTAAAATCAACGTCAACCAGCGTATCCAGCACGAGGACCTTCATCACCGAGTCACCTTGTTTTACCAACGTTTGGACGTAAGAGTTGCGACATTTGACCGTGAATTTGCGTGAACCTCACTCGATACGGTAGTTCATTCAGTTGAAGCCATGCTGACGCCGATCCGACGGGAGTGTCTCTGCTCTAAGTTTAGGACATGACTGAACCCATGCTGTCCCAATCCGAGGCAACCAAACGTGTCCAACTCGACATTGAAGTCATTTGGGGGCATTGACGTTGGGCATTTCAGTCGCTAACGGTATTCACAAGACAAACTAGAAGGCGTTATCATCAATTTAACTGCCAAGGCTCTTTGGCTGAGGGGTTGGAAAGCAAACTTATTCTCCAAGTTGGAGCTTTAAGTCGAATTACTCCCATTTCCGGAAACCGTTATCATCATCTATACAATTGAAGCAACATAAGTTTGTTCCTCTCCCAAGGAAATGGATCCGAGGCTGTACCGATATGCTAGCTCCGGTGATATTCGCTCCCTCAAGGAGCTTCTCGGTAGAGATCCGAGCGTACTCCCGGGGCGCACTCCTCAAGGAAACACGGCCCTCCATGTTGCCGCTAGATTTGGACAAAGACCAGTTTTCGCGGAGATCTATAGTCGATGCAAGTCCCTTCTCATGCAGCCGAATTCCGAGGGAGACACTCCTCTGCATGTAGCTTCAGGGGCTGGCCATCTTTCTGTTGTGAAGTTTCTAGTCATAGAGATCACATCCACCTCTCCTTCTCAGCTAGACATTGAAAGCGGCTGCCACGGCAATTTTGAGATTCTAAGACGTGGAAATAGGATGAACAACACAGCCCTGCATGAGGCGATCAGAAACGGTCACTCACAAGTGGTTAGGTTGCTTATAAAAGCGGATTCTCACCTTGTGCTTTACGAAAATAGTGCGGGAGAATCCCCATTGTACCTGGCTGCTAGTGGGGGCGTGGAAGAGATTGTAAATTGGATCTTGACATCGTGCCCGTTATCTGCTCACGGTGGATCAGATGGCCAGACGGCTTTACACGCTGCTGTGAGCGCAAGACATTATGGTAACTCTGTATTCCTTGATCTGCAAGATATCATGCTCCGCAGTAATGACAAAGATGCTAAGTACTTGTTCCGAGTTCAAGTATCATGTAATCTGATGTAGCAATAGCGTCCTGATATCTACTGATGGAAAATTTGGCATATATGCTTATACAAAGTATGAATCTTTTCAACTTCCATTAGATATCGCTCAGTCCCAATACTTGCTAGTTTTGTGCGCTTTAAAGAATTTTTTGTTCATGCATCACAGGTATAGTGAAAACACTCCTAAGAGTGAAACCAGAGCTGATCAAAGAAGCTGACAACTATGGCAGGACCCCTCTTTACTATGCAGCTTTTTCTGGATACCACAAATTGGTTCAACAATTACTGGAGCTCGATATCTCGAGCGCATATTTAGTGGACAGAGATGGTCATTCGTCACTTCATGCAGCAGCAAGTAATGGCCATGCCAAGGTTATAAAAGCGATTATCCGGCAATGCCCGGATGCTGGGGAATTGGTAGACGTAAAGGGCCAAAACATTCTTCATGTTGCAGTCCTAAGCGGGAAAGCAACTGTTGTCAGATGCATATTGGAAACTATCGAGCTTGAGGGCCTAATAAATCAGCCCGATCACAACGGTAATACTGCTTTGCATCTAACTATCATGGAAAGGAGAAGTTGGATCGCGGCTTACCTATTGTGGGATGCGAGAGTTGATCAAACAGCTCGGAACACAAAAGGGGAAACCGCCTTCGATGTAGATGAGCCAACCAAGGAACCGCGTGTTATTCCCTCGGTAGGTATACTATTGCCAGCCCGTAGTTCACTGAAATTTGTGAAATCTCCTGACCATAATTCGAAATTTAAATTGTCTTCATTTCACTTGCAGGTCGTGATGCTGAATTCGCGACAACTACGCCTCCCACATCTTTGGAATCTCCGAGGAGAATTTCTCCCCTGTACAAATGAAGAAAAAGATGGTGTCTTGACTTCAGAACAAACTTACAAGCAAAATTGTCAGACCTTACTGATGGTCGCGATGCTCATCACAACCGTGACGTTCGCAGCAGCTTTCACAATGCCCGGCGGTTATAACAACAACATCGGCCCGGGCCAAGGAGTGGCCCTTCTTCGGTCAAGTGGTTTTCTCAAGCAGTTCATCATCTCTGACACTATTGCAATGACCTGCTCTATAATGGCCTCTTCCATCATACTCTGGGGCACTGCTTTCAGCAAGAGATGTTACATGCATTGCTATGTGACTGCAGCTGTGCTGACATTCATCGCGCTGCAGTCGACTGCCATGTCATTCAATTCGGGTCTCTTGGCTGTGTTACCTGACCAAACATATGTCCACACCATGATTTGGATAGTTGGCAGTGTCTTCCATGTTAACACCTGCTTGTTTCTCTTCAGACTGGCCCAGATTTTTTCCTTCTCTGAGATCTGCCTCTCCTTGATTTCCCGCCTCAGAAGGATCAAGTGTATCATCCATTCCCACATAGCAAAGAAGTAACATTCTTCAGCATTGTTATGTTGGAGAAATTACTGACAACTTTTCCCCTTGTGGATTTGGTGAAATCTGCAAGAAAACATCACTGAGTTTTTTCATTTTTTTCTTTTTTTGGGATTGTTTGCTTACATGCTTTTACTAATTCTGTGATACCTGGAGCTGTTTCCAGAAGATCTCAGAGCCATCATCCATGATCCAACAAAATGGCTTCATCCCTCATTTTTTGGACATAAAACAGCCTGATGAATCATGATCAAACACAAACACTGTCAAATGATTGACCTCGACTCTTTCATCACTTTCACTTGATACCTTAACACTTCTATTCAAAGTGAGACTGCGCTGATTTGCTTGTGCAGAGTCTAGCCTCAAGATGTCATTGTCCGTGGAAATTCAGGAAAAACTATGGGATTAAATGTAACACCCCGGGTCTACACTGTATAATATTATTCGCTTTGAGCCCACTGATCCTTACGGCTTTAAAATGCGTTTCACACAAAGCTTCCGCTGTGCTAAGAATAAAGCCTTGAGGGAGGCCCGTAGCTGGGATGGCGGTGCGTCCGCGTCAGTGCGGGAGGCCCAAAGAGGACAATAGTGGGTTGGGTCGAGGGATGGCAGTGCGGCTGGGCCTCTATCCCAAACAACGCGTTTTAAAGCCGTGAGGGTCAGTGGACTCAAAGCGAACAATATTACATAGTGTAAACCCGGGGTGTTACATTAAACCATCCCAAACGTGTTAAACTTGGCATTGACTTCCGGAATGTGTCTTAAAAGTCATTGATTAATACCCTCGCATTCACATTCGATACTGCAGTGCAGGTCCTCACGCTTTTCTTAATCTGCGAGGAAAAATCAAGAGCTAACTGCCAAGATGTTTTGGCAAAGGACCTGCAAGTCCGACTTTGGACCATGCGACACAAATAAAAAAAATTCTTTGTACTACGTTGGAGAATGACTTTTTGGCAATTTGGGCATGTTTAGTAACGTTTCTGTTTTTTTGATTTTCTGTTCTTTTGTTCCCCATAACAGAAAAAGAACAGAAATCTGTTTAGTAACATCAGTTAGTTTTTTTGTTCCCCGAAACTAAAAAGTGATCAGGGAATAGATTTGGAACAGAAATAAAAAGTAAAAAAAATCTACATTTCTGTTTCTAGAACAAAAAAAGAAACAATAGATAAACAAAATCAGCTCTCCCTCTTTCATAAGATATTCTCATACTAAACAATAAAACCACAAATCATAAACCCTAAACCTTAACCCCGAAACCCTAAACCCCAAAATCCTAAACCTTAACCCTCAAACCCTAAACCCCAAAGCCTTAAACCTCAATACCCAAACCCTAAAACCCATAACACTAAAATGAAAAACCCAAAACCCAAAACTCTAAAACCCCAAAACCCAAATCCCTAAAACCCTAAACCTTATAAACCCCAAATCCTAAACCCAAAATCCCAAACCCAAAACTCGAAACACTAAACCCTAAACCCCAAAACTCCAAACCCGAAACCCTAAAATCGTAATTCCAAACCCTAAATCCTAAACGTTAAACCACAAAACCCCAAACCCTAAACCATAAACTCCAAACCCTATACCCTAAATCCTAAGCCCCAATACCCAAAACTCGAATCCCTAAAACCCTAAACCACTAAACCCCAAACCCTAAACTTGAAACGCTAAACCTAAAATCCCAAACCCAAAATTCTAAAACCTAAACCCCAAACTCTAAACCATAAAATCCAAAATCTAAAACCCCAAATCCTAAACCTCAAAACCGAAATCCTAAAACCCTAACCCCAAATCCTAAAATCCTACACCCTAAACTGCAATTTCCTCGACCACCACTCGATATTTAATTTGTCTATAATGAGTAATTTTCTTTATGATTGTATTAAGGTCATCCAATTCTATATCATAATATATTATTTTTCTATTTATAGTCCAATTTTATCCAAACATAAATTGTTAAGTCCCCTAAACTGCAATTTCCTTGACCACCACCCGGTTTTTGCTTTATCTATAAGGAGTAATTTTCTTTATGATTGTATTAAGGTCATCCAATTCTATATAATAATATATTATTATTCTATTTCTAGTCCAGTTTTATCTAAACATGAATTGTTAAGTCTTCACCGATAATTTTATAATTAAATGAAAAAATTGGGAGTATAAATTTTTAGTGTCTAATCAAACGCATTTTTGTTCTTTTTCTACTCCAGGAATATAAATTTTGTACAGTTACGGAACACGTTTTTTTACTCAAAAACTCATCTAGGGAATAGAAAAAAAAAATATTTCTGAACAGAAACGTTACCAAACAGACCCTTAATCATTTCTCAATCGAGAATCACTCTTCCAAGATTACATTCCTATTTTTCTTTTTTCCTTTTTTAATGGCTTTCTGTTCCTTTTCTCTTTTTCTTTTTTTATTTTTTTGCTAGGTCCTTTTCTCTTTCTCGTATAGAGCTCTTGTTCCTTTTGAAATATGGTAATTTTGGTTGGTCATCAGTGCACCAACCAAAAAAAAATTTGTCAGGACATTTTCCACTAAAATTCAATCAATGCAACTGGTAAAACAAAAAATAAACAAATAAACAAATAAAATTTGCGATTTTACGCTGTGAGGATGTGATCAAGTGCAAAATATTGTAAATTACATTTTCCTTTATTTTACAATATTCTATAAAAACTCATTTTAGCTGTTCCATAATAGTTCAACGGTTATATGGTTATACATCAACTGCAGTTGCATCTGCCGCATTGACGAAAAATTTTACTTAATATAAGTGATGATTCCTTTTAAGTTTCGATCTAATCACCAAAGTCAATCTTAGGTCCGCGGATAGGAGGACATATTTAGGTTCCACACCCCACAGACAATGATTTGCTCATATTTGCGTTCCCGGTTTACGACATCTCTGCCGGGCAACGTTGGGGCTCATTCTAGGCAAAACTGCCTTTGACATAGATGAGCTAACCAAGGAAACACGTGTTATTCCTTCGGTACGTATACTATTGCCCGGCAGTAATTCAATGAAATTTATGAATTCTCCAGGCCATGATTCTAAATCTAAATTGTCTTCCTTTCACTTGCAGGTCCCGATGGTGAACTGGCAACAACTATGCCTCCCACATCATTGGCATTTTCGAGGAGGATTTCTCCCCAGTACAAATGAACAAAAGGCCGGTGTCTTGGATTTAGAACAAACTTACAAGCAAAACTGTCAGACGTTATTGATGGTCGCGACACACATCACAGCCGTGACGTTTGCAGCAGCTTTCACAATGCCCGGCCGTTATAACAATAACGCTGGCCTAGACCAAGAAGTGGCCCTTCTCCGGTCAAGCAGTTATCTCAAGTGGTTCATTATCTCCGACACTATCGCGATGACCTGCTCGATAATGGCCGCTTCCCTCATACTCTGGGGTGCTGCTTTTGGGAAGAGACCTTACGTGCATTGCTACGTGATTGCGGCTATACTGACATGCATTGCGCTGCAGTCGACTGCAATATTGTTCTTGTCGGGTCTCGTGGCTGTTCTACCTGACCAAGCGTATGTCCACACCATGAATAACATAGTCGGCAGTGTCTTCCATGTTCACACCTGCTGGCTTCTTTTCAGACTGGCACAGATTTTTCCTTCTCTGAGATCTGCCTCTCCTTGATTTCCCGCCTCAGAAGGCTCAAGTGTATCATCAATTCCCACAAAGTAAACAAATGACATTCTTCGGCAATGTTTTTTTTTTTTTTTGATAATCCGGACTCCCGCACTACAAGGGTCTGACCGGCCAGGCACCAACCGGAGGAGAGCTAATCTGGCCTCACAAACTAGCCTCCATGTAAATCAAGAGTATAATAAGGCTACGCGGTAGAGGGGACTCGAACTTGGGACCTGGGACCCCAAGTTCTACACCCTTACCAACGCAGCCAACCTCTTGGAGGCATTCTTCGGCAATGTTATATTGGAGAAATTGCTGGCAACTTTGCCCCTCGGGGATTTAGTGAAATCTGCACAAAAACATCGCTCAGTTTTTTTCTTTTTTTTCTTTTTCAAGCCAACAAAACCCAACCGCTGTTTCCAGAAGATCTCAGAGCCACCGTCCAACAGAATGACTTCATCTCTCAATATTTTGACATAAAACAGTCTGATTAATTATGATTAAAACACTAACACGGTCAAATGATTGACCTCGACTCTCACATCACTTCCACTTGATCCCTCAACACTTTCTATTCAAAGTAATACTGCGCTGATTTGCTTGTCCAGAGTCTAGGACACGAGATGTCAATGTCTGTGGAAAATTCAGAAAAAAAACACTTGAGATTTGGCTCTCCATACCATCCCTCCAAACGTGTTAAACTTGGCATTGACTTCCCGAATGCGTTTAAAAGTCATCGAGTCATACCCTCGGACTCCCATTAGATACCGCAGCGCAGGTCCTCACGTTATTCATTAACTGCAAGGGAAAATCAACGACCAACTGCGAAGATATTTTGGCAAAGGACCTGCAGGTCCGGCTTTGGACCATGCGGACAAAAAAAAAAGACTTTGTACAACGTTGGAGAATTGACCTTTTTGGCAATTTGGCATGCCACGGTACGATAAATAGCCATCCATAGTCCTTCACTTATCATTCCTGCGTTGAAGGAAATGGAGACGCTGGCCGCACCGTTACTCTTGAAATTTTGGACAACTTGTTTGTCCGGTTTTCCTAAATCAATCAGGGGTTTGCTAGCATAATAGTCTTTTAAGCCACTGTAAGAGAAACAACATGTTGGGAGCCACAAATTATTAGGACATTTTCCACTTAAATTCAATCATTGCAACTCGTAAAACCAAAAAAAAAAAATTAAAACTTCAGATTTTATGCTGTGAGGATGTGATCAAGTAAAAATTATCGTAAATTACATTTTTCTTTATTTTACAATATTCTATAAAAATTTATTACATTTCGTCGTAATCAAGTACACAAAATGTCATAAATTGCATTTTTGTTTAGTTTTGCAACATCGCACCACCACTGACGACGTTTTATTCTAACTGGGTGCAACATATTATAAAGTATGAGAAAATATGATTTTTTTTTAGAATTAAGACTATGGTAGTATACAAAGAATTTCCGACGTAATGTCATACATGCAACACTTTATAAAAAACTAATTTCTTTTATTTAGATTATTAATTAGTTTTATCTTAATCAAGTGAGTGTCATAAGTTTCTTGTTTGTTGTAAGAAATATAAATATTGTGACATTTACCAAGAATTAAACGTCGTGCAATGTTTCGACCAAAAAAAATGTCGTACAATGTGAATATTTCTATTTAATGAGCGTTACGAGATTACACATTATAACAAAATGTAGGGGTAAAAAAGAAGATCATACTGCAACTTGTTCACAAAGGAGAGACAGGATGAAGATGGAGATTCAAGAGAAGTAGTTAGCAAGAACAAATAATGGTTTTTAATTTTCATTTTCTTGTCAGGGAATTGTCTTATTTTTTCATGTAAAGAATAAAATCTATAAACATCCAGAAGCTGGTTCTTCTTGGAATGAAAATTGTGATCGACATAGCACCGTTAGAAACTCAATCTAACAGCACCGTCACGCTAGCAAGACTATTATCTCAAAGTACTAACAATCCTACAGAGTACAGAGAATACTACATGACAAAAATTGCAGGCTAATTGTCCAATTTATTTTACAATATGATCACGTATGGACGAGCTAGGATTGGTGGATCTTCGCCCTCAATTAGAAATTAATTCTTGAAACTCAATTTATATTGAACCCAAGTTCAATTTTTTTAAATTACTAATTGTTGATCGATCTATCTTGACATGATAAATTAGATGTTCCATACCCACTTGACCGATCTAGAACTCATTTTTAGTGAAGGGTTTAAGAGCTGCCTAGACATGTGACATTTTGTTATATCCATCTTAATCACTCGTATGTGTAACTAACACTATCAATTTTCTCTTTCATCTTTATTTTTTCGTGATTTTTTCTTTCCTCTCTCTCAAAGGGAATTCATATTATCTAATAAGCGTTTCTACGGAACAGGTCTTTAATTCAATATGAGGGTTGGATAAAAGGAGAAAAAACATGGTCTGCCAGATTTGCTTTGGAAAACCGATTTTCTAACGTAACATACTAAAGTTAAAAGAAAGTTACGAAAGCAAAAATGATCAAACCTACATTTAATTGAGAAAAGTTACGGTGAATAAGAAAAATTAATGACACATAGACCGTAAAACTTTACGAATTGCAAAAGAAAGTTATAATCACTCAAACATTTTACTAACAATAAAATAAAAGAAATTTACTTCTAACTTATTAGGTCGAGCTCGGCATGAACCCGTGGGCCGGCATGGTCCAATAGTGTCATGCTTCTTGCCGGGCCACTATGGCCTGGTTATTCTTTTAGAACCTTTTTAGCTGTTCCACAATAACATGACAGTTATATGGCCGTTACATCGGCTGCAATTGCAACCGCCGCATCCATGAGCAATTTGACTTAATATAATCGCCGATCCCTTTTAAGTTTCGATCTAATCACCAAAGTCAATCTTAGGTCCATGGATTGGAGGGCATATTTGGATTCCGCACCCCACGGACAATGATTTGCTCATATTGGCATTCCTGATTTCCCACATCTCCACAGTATAACGCCGGGGCTGATTCTAGCCAAATTTTCTGATCACCGGCGGCCATTACTCTCCGGTATTCGCGTGCCTCGCCAGTGGAAGATTTAGTCAAGAGCATTGCTGGCCTAACAGTACTGTTAGCTAACGGTGCAATTCATATCACATGTTGAGAGAGCATCAGCTCTTATTTTAAGAAAGAAATCTACTCAAATCATTCAAGGTGGAGAATTAAAGGTGGAGAAGCCACCGTTCCATTTGGAAGACTTACGGCAACTTCAGCTAATCATTTCTCTTTAGTCAAAATTTTGAGAATTTTCTAAAAAATCAACGTCAACTGGCGTAGCGTATCCAGCACGACGGCCTTCATTACCGATTCACCTTGTTTTTCCAAACTTCTGGACGTAAGAGTTGCGCCATTTGACCTTGGATATGCGCGAACCTCTCTTTACGTGCTAGTCAATTTGGTTGAAGCCATGCTGCTCCGATGCGACGGGAGTGTATCCGCTCTAAGTTTTAGGACATGACTGAACCTATGCTGTCCCAATCTGAGGCAGCTGGCGTGTCGAACTTGACAGTTGACAGTGACTTTCTAGAATGTGCTCTGAAGTCATTTGGGGGCATTGACGTTGGGCACTTCAGGCACTGACGGTATTCACAGGACGAACCGGAAGGCGTTTATCAACAATTTAAACTGCCAAGGCTCTTTGGCTGAGGCGTTGGAAAGCAAACTTGTTCTCCAAGTTGGAAGCTTTCTGTCAAATTACTCCCCCTTTCCGGGAAACCGGTATTACCATCTATACAATCGGAGCGATGTTAGTTTATTCCTCTCCCGAGAAAATGGATCCGAGGCTGTACCGATATGCTAGCTCTGGTGATATTCGCTCCCTCAAGGAGCTTCTCGGTAGAGATCCGAGCGTACTCCTGGGGCGCACTCCTCAAGGAAACACGGCCCTCCATGTTGCCGCTAGATTTGGACAAAGACCGGTTTTCGAGGAGATCTATAGTCGATGCAAGTCCCTTCTCGTGCAGCCGAATTCCGAGGGAGACACTCCTCTGCATGTGGCTTCAGGGGGTGGCCATCTTTCTGTTGTGAAGTTTCTGGTCACAGAGATCACATCCACCGCTCCTTCTCAGCTAGACATTGAAAGCGGCTGTGACCGCATTTTCGAGATGCTAAGACAGGGAAATAGAAGGAACAACACAGCCCTGCATGAGGCGATCAGAAACGGTCACTCACAAGTGGTTCGGCTGTTAATAAAAGCCGATTCTCAATTTGTACTTTACGAAAATAGTGCGGGAGAATCCCCATTGTACCTGGCTGCTAGAGGGGGCATGGAAGAGATTGTAAATTGGATCTTGACATCGTGCCCTTTATCTGCGAACAGTGGATCAGATGGCCAGACGGCCTTGCACGCTGCTGTGAGCGCAAGACATTCTGGTAACTCTCTATTCCTTGACCTGCAAGATATCATGCTCTAAAGTGTTAACAAAGATGCTAAGTTCTTGTACCGAGTTCAACTATCATGTAATCTGATGTAGCAACAGAGTCCCGGTATCTATTGATGGAAAATTTGGCATTTATGCTTATACAAAGTAAAAAATCTTTTCAACTTCCATTAGATATTGCTCAGCCCCAATACTTGCAAGTTCTGCACGCTTTAAAGAATATTTGGTTCATGCATCACAGATATAGTGAAAGCCCTCCTAAGAGCAAAGCCGGAGCTGATCAAAGAAGCTGACCACCATGGCAGAACCCCTCTCTACTATGCAGCTTTTTCTGGATACCACAAATTGGTCCGGCAATTGTTAGAGCTCGATATCTCGAGTGCATATGTAGTGGACATAGATGGTTTTTCGTCACTTCATGCAGCAGCGAGTAATGGTCATGCCAAGGTTATAAAAGAGATTATTCGGCAATGCCCAGCTGCTGGGGAATTGGTAGACCTAAAGGGCCAAAACATTCTTCATGTTGCAGTGCTAAGTGGGGAAGCAAATGTTGTCAGATGCATATTGGAAACCTTTGAGCTCGGGGCCCTAATAAATCAGCCTGATCACAATGGCAATACTCCTCTGCATTTAACGATCATTGAAAGGAGAAGTTGGATTGCGGCTTACCTGTTGTGCGATGCGAGAGTTGATCGAACAGCTCGGAACATAAAAGGTGAAACTGCCTTCTACATAGATGAGCTAACCAAGGAAACACGTGTAATTCCTTCGGTAAGTATACTATTGCCCAGCCGTAATTCAATGAAATTTATGAATTCTCCGGGCCATGATTCTAAATCTAAATTGTCTTCCTTTGATTTGCAGGTTCCGATGGTGAACTGGCAACAACTACGCCTCCCACATCATTGGAATTTTCGAAAAGGATTTCTCCCCAGTACAAATGAACAAAAGGCCGGTGTCTTGGATTCAGAACAAACTTACAAGCAAAACTGTCAAACGTTATTGATGGTCGTGACACTCATCACAACCGTGACGTTTGCAGCAGCTTTCACAATGCCCGGCGGTTATAACAATAACGCTGGCCTAGACCAAGGAGTGGCCCTTCTCCGGTCAAGCAGTTATCTCAAGTCGTTCATTATCTCCGACACTATCGCGATGACCTGCTCGATAATGGCCGCTTCCCTCATACTCTGGGGCGCTGCTTTTGGGAGGAGACCTTACGTGCATTGCTACATGATTGCGGCTGTACTGACATGCATCGCGCTGCAGTCGACTGCAATATCGTTCTTGTCGGGTCTCGTGGCTGTTCTACCTGACCAAGCGTATGTCCACACCATGAATAACATAGTCGGCAGTTTCTTCCATGTTCACACCTGCTGGCTTCTTTTCAGACTGGCACAGATTTTTTCCTTCTCTGAGATCTGCCTCTCCTTGATTTCCCGCCTCAGAGGGCTCAAGCGTATCATCAATTCCCACAAAGTAAACAAATGACATTCTTCGGCAATGTTACATTGGAGAAATTGCGGACAACTTTGCCCCTCGGGGATTTAGTGAAATCTGCAGGAAAACATCGCTCAGTTTTTTCTTTTTTTTCTTTTTCAAGCCGACAAAACCCAACCGTGTTGTTTACTTATATGCTTCTACTAATGCCATGATACCTGGAGCTGTTTCCAGATGATCTCAGAGCCACCGTCCAACAGAATGACTTCATCTCTCAATATTTTGACATAAAACAGTCTGATTAATTATGATTAAAACACTAACACTGTCAAATGATTGACCTCGACTCTCACATCACTTCCACTTGATCCCTCAACACTTTCTATTCAAAGTAATACCGCGCTGATTTGCTTGTCCAGAGTCTAGGACACGAGATGTCAATGTCTGTGGAAAATTCAGAAAAAGAAACACTTGAGATTTGGCTCTCCATACCATCCCTCCAAACGTGTTAAACTTGGCATTGACTTCCCGAATGCGTTTAAAAGTCATCGAGTCATACCCTTGGATTCGCATTAGATACCGCAGCGCAGGTCCTCACGTTATTCATTAACTGCAAGGGAAATTCAACGACCAACTGCGAAGATATTTTGGCAAAGGACCTGCAGGTCCGACTTTGGACCATGCGGACAAAAAAAAAAAAGACTTTGTACAACGTTGGAGAATTGACCTTTTTGGCAATTTTGTATGCCACGCTACGATAAATAGCCATCCATATTCCTTCGCTTATCATTCCTGCGTTGAAGGAAATGGAGACGCTGGCCGCACCGTTACTCTTGAAATTTTGGACAACTTGTTTGTCCGGTTTTCCTAAATCAATCAGGATTTTGCTAGCATAACAGTCTTTTAAGCCACCGTGAGAGAAACATCATGTTGTGAAGCACAAATTATTAGGACATTTTCCACTTAAATTCAATCAATGCAACTCGTAAAACCAAAAAAAAATAAATTAAAACTTGGGATTTTACGCTATGAGGATGTGATCAAGTAAAAATATCGTAAATTACATTTTCCTTTATTTTACAATATTCATAAAAATTTATTACATTTCGTCGTAGTCAAGTACACACAATGTCATAAATTGCATTTTGTTTAGTTTTGCAGCGTCGCACCACCATTGACGACGTTTTATTCTAATCGAGTGCAACATATTATAAAGTATGAGAAAATATGATTTTTTTTTAGAATTAAGACTATGGTAGTATACAAAGAATTTCCGACGTAACGTCATAAGTGCAACACTTTATAAAAAACGAATTTCTTTTATTTAGATTATTAATTAGTTTTATCTTACTCAAGTGAGTGTCATAAGTTTCTTGTTTGTTGTAAGAAATATAAATATTGGGACATTTACCGAGACTTAAACGTCGTGCACTGTTTCGACCAAAAAAAATGTCGTACAATGTGAATATTTCTATTTAATGAGCGTTACGAGATTACATATTATAACAAAATGTAGAGGTAAAAAAGAAGAAGATAATACTGCAAAGTTGTTCACAAAGGAGAGGCAGGATGAAGATGGAGATTCAAGAGAAGTAGTTAGCAAGAACAAATAATGGTTTTTAATTTTCATTTTCTTGTCAGGGAATTGTCTTATTTTTTCATCGAAAGAATAAAATCTATAAACATCCAGAAGCTGGTTCTTCTTGGAATGAAAATTGTGATCGACATAGCACCGTTAGAAACTCAATCTAACAGCACCGTCACGCTAGCAAGACTATTATCTCAAAGTACTAACAATCCTACAAAGTACAGAGAATACTACATGACAAAAATTGCAGGCCAATTGTCCAATTTATTTTACAATATGATCACGTATGGACGAGCTAAGATTGGTGGATCTTCGCCCTCAATTAGAAATTAATTCTTGAAACTCAATGTACATTGAAACCAAGTTCAATTTTTTGTAAATTACTAATTGTTGATCGATCTATCTTGACATGATAAATTAGATGTTCCATACCCACTTGACCGATCTAGAACTCATTTTTAGTGAAGGGTTTAAGAGCTTCCTAGACATGTGACATTTTGTTATACCCATCTTAATCACTCGTATGTGTAACTAACACTATTAATTTTCTCTTCCGTCTTTATTTGTTCGCGATTTTTTCTTTCCTCTCTCTCAAAGGGAATTCATATTATCTAATAAGCGTTTCTACGGAACAGGTCTTTTGGATAAACGGAGAAAAAACATGGTCTGCCAGATTTGCTTTGGAAAACCGAATTTCCATCGTAACATACTAAAGTTAAAAGAAAGTTCCGAAAGCAAAAATGATCAAACCTACATTTAATTGAGAAAAGTTACAGTGAATAAGAAAAATTAATGACACATAGACCGTAAAACTTTACGAATTGCAAAAGAAAGTTATGATCACTCAGACATTTTACTAACAATGAAATAAAAGAAATTTAACTCTAACTTATTGGGCCGAGCTCGGCACGACCCCGTGAGCCGGCACAGTCCAATAGTGTCATGCTTCTTGCTGGGCCACTATGGCCTGGTTATTCTTTAGAACCTTTTTAGCTGTTCTACAATAGCATGATAGTTATATGGCCGTTACATCAGCTGTAATTGCAACCGCCGCATCCACGAGCAATTTGACTTAATATAATCGCCGATCCCTTTTAAGTTTCGATCTAATCACCAAAGTCAATCTTAGGTCCATGGATTGGAGGGCATTGGATTCCGCACCCCACGGACAATGATTTGCTCATATTGGCATTCCTGATGTCCCACATCTCCACGGTATAACGCCGGGGCTGATTCTAGCCAAATTTTCTGATCACCGGCAGCCATTAATCTCCGGTATTCGCGTGCCTCGCCGGTGGAAGATTTAGTCAAGAGCATTGCTGGCCTAACAGTACTGTTAGCTAACGGTGCAATTCATATCACAAGTTGAGAGAGCATCAGTTCTTATTTTAAGAAAGAAATCTACTCATATCATTCAAGGTGGAGAATTAAAGGTGGAGAAGCCACCGTTCCATTTGGAAGACTTACGGCAACTTCAGCTAATCATTTCCCTTTAGTCAAAATTTTGAGAATTTTCTAAAAAATCAACGTCAATGAGCGTAGCGTATCCAGGACGACGGCCTTTATCACCGATTCACCTTGTTTTTTCCAACTTCTGGACGTAAGAGTTGCGCCGTTTGACCTTGGATATGCGCGAACCCCCCTTTACGCGCTAGTCAATTCGGTTGAAGCCATGCTGGCTCCGATGCGATGGGAGTGTCTCCGCTCTAGGTTTTAGGACACGACTGAACCTATGCTGTCCCAATCTGAGGCAGTGACTTTCGAATGTGCTCTGAAGTCATTTGGGGGCATTGACGTTGGGCACTTCAGGCACTAACGGTATTCACACAACGAACTGGAAAGGCGTTCATCAACAATTTAAACTGCCAAGGCTCTTTGGCTGAGGCGTTGGAAAGCAAACTTATTCTCCAAGTTGGAAGCTTTCTGTCAAATTACTCCCCCTTTCCGGGAAACCGGTATTACCATCTATACAATCGGAGCGACCTTAGTTTATTCCTCTCCCGAGAAAATGGATCCGAGGCTGTACCGATATGCTAGCTCTGGTGATATTCGCTCCCTCAAGGAGCTTCTCGGTAGAGATCCGAGCGTACTCCTGGGGCGCACTCCTCAAGGAAACACGGCCCTCCATGTTGCTGCTAGATTTGGACAAAGGCCGATTTTCGAGGAGATTTATAGTCGATGCAAGTCCCTTCTCATGCAGCCGAATTCCGAGGGAGACGCTCCTCTGCATGTAGCTTCAGGGGGTGGCCATCTTTCTGTTGTGAAGTTTCTGGTCACAGAGATCACATCCACCGCTCCTTCTCAGCTAGACATTGAAAGCGCCTGTGACCGCAATTTCGAGATGCTAAGACAGGGAAATAGAAGGAACAACACAGCCCTGCATGAGGCGATCAGAAACGGTCACTCACAAGTGGTTAGGTTGTTAATAAAAGCCGATTCTCAATCTGTACTCTACGAAAATAGTGCGGGAGAATCCCCATTGTACCTGGCTGCTAGAGGGGGCATGGAAGAGATTTTAAATTGGATCTTGACATCGTGCCCTTTCTCTGCGAACGGTGGATCAGATGGCCAGACGGCCTTGCACGCTGCTGTGAGCGCAAGACATTCTGGTAACTCTCTATTCCTTGACCTGCAAGATATCATGCTCTAAAGTGTTAACAAAGATGTTAAGTTCTCGAACCGAGTTCAACTATCATGTAATCTGATGTAGCAACAGTCCTAGTATCTACTGATGGAAAATTTGGCATTTACGCTTATACAAAGTAAAAAATCTTTTCAACTTCCATTAGATATTGCTCAGCCCCAATACTTGCAAGTTCTGCACGCTTTAAAGAATATTTGGTTCATGCATCACAGATATAGTGAAAGCCCTCCTAAGAGCAAAGCCGGAGCTTATCAAAGAAGCTGACCACCATGGCAGAACCCCTCTCTACTATGCAGCTTTTTCTGGATACCACAAATTGGTCCGGCAATTGTTAGAGCTCGATATCTCGAGTGCATATGTAGTGGACATAGATGGTCATTCGTCACTTCATGCAGCAGCGAGTAATGGTCATGCCAAGGTTATAAAAGAGATTATTCGGCATTGCCCAGATGCTGGGGAATTGGTAGACCTAAAGGGCCAAAACATTCTTCATGTTGCAGTGCTAAGTGGGGAAGCAAATGTTGTCAAATGCATATTGGAAACCTTTGAGCTCGGGGGCCTAATAAATCAGCCTGATCATAACGGCAATACTCCTTTGCATTTAACGATCATGGAAAGGAGAAGTTGGATTGCGGCTTACCTGTTGTGCGATGCAAGAGTTGATCAAACAGCTCGGAACATAAAAGGCGAAACTGCCTTCGACATAGATGAGCTAACCAAGGAAACACGTGTAATTCCTTCGGTAAGTATACTATTGGTCAGCCGTAATTCAATGAAATTTATGAAATCTCCGGACCATGTTTCGAAATCTAAATTGTCTTCCTTTCACTTGCAGGTTGCGATGGTGAACTGGCGACAGCTACGCCTCCCATATCATTGGAAGTTACGAGGAGGACTTCTCCCCAGTACAGATGAACAAAAAGCCGGTGTCTTGGATTCAGAACAAACTTACAGGCAAAACTGTCAGATGTTATTGATGATCGCGACACTCATCACAGCCGTGACGTTTGCAGCGGCTTTCACAATGCCTGGCGGTTATAACAATAATGTCGGCCCAGGCCAAGGAGTGGCCCTTCTCCAGTCAAGCCATTATCTTAAGTGGTTCATCATCTCCGACACTATCGCGATGACCTGCTCGATAATGGCCGCCTCCCTCATACTCTGGGGCGCTGTTTTCGGCAAGAGACCTTACGTGTATTGCTATGTGATTGCAGCTGTGCTGACGAACATCGCGCTGCAGTCAACTGCGACATCGTTCATGACGGGTCTCCAGGCTGTTTTACCTGATGAAAGTTATGTCCACATCTTGAGTTACATAGTCGGCTGTGCCTTCAATGCTAACGCCTGCTTGTTTCTCTTCAGATTGGCACAGACTTTTTCATACTCTCACATCTGCCTCTCCTTGATGTCCTGCCTCAGAAGGCTCAAGTTCATCATCAATTCCCACATAGCAAAGAAATAACATTCTCCAGCAATGTGCAAGAAAACATCGCTCTGTTTTTCTATTTCTTTTTTGGGCTAACAAAACCCAAGCATCGTCTGCTTATATGCTTTTACCAATTCTATGATACCTGGAGCTGTTTCCAGAAGATCTCAGTGCCATCATCCAACAGAACGACTTCTTCTCTCTATATTTTTACATAAAACAGTCTGATGAACTATGATCAAACACTAACACAGTCAAATGATTGACCTTGACTCTTATATCAATTTCATTTGATACCTTAACACTTCCATTCTAAATCATGGGTAGACTTAGGAAAGAATTGTTAGGCCTGTTGCCGAGTCGGATCATATCTAACCTAAGCCATATACAAGTTACATTCTCAACCATTAATTCGGCCCATTAGGTTGATTATGGAGCATGGTCAATCTGCATGGTATCCCCCATTTCTGGGGTAAGCAAGATTTTCCCTTTAGATATAGTTCTTCAACTTTATACCACATGTCACACAAAATAATAAAAAAAACAAGACTTTGTACCATATGACGTGGGAGAATGACATTTTGGCAATTTGGTATACGACATACGATGAAAAGTCATCCTTATTCCTTCACTAATCAATCTTGCGTCATATCTTAAAATATCAACAATCGTACAGACTACAGGGGATGTTGCATGACAAAAATGTATCAAATTTAATCTAAACTATGACCACGTTAGAACGAGCTAAGACCGGTGGATTTTCGCTATCCGCCGGAAATTAATTCTAGAAACTTTAATATTTTTTTAACCAAAAAACTTAATTTTAATTTTAATGAAAGATATTGGCATTTGATGGAATGTTCGGATCGAAGTTTGAGGTCGAAATCCTCCTTGAATTTGCTTTCTGTATAGAAGAGATCAAAGCAATATGGTGCGGTTCTTTGTAGAGCCCATTTGACCATAAGTAAGGACATAAAAGCAGTAGGCACCGGAAGGTTTTGGGTTAGGCCCGGTATATGTTATCGGACTTTTAACACGAGTCTAAGTTAGACCCGATTATGAGCCTAGCGGGTCACGAGAGAGCTAGACCCCAGGCCCAAAGTACAAATGGGTGGAAAATCTAATAGTTCTAAATCATATGCGGACTTCAAGAAAGAATTGTTAGGCCTGGTGTCTGAGTTGGATGAGCAAGTTTCATAAACATTAATTCGGCCCATGAGGTTGATTATGGGGCATGGTCAATCTGCATGATATTCCCCTTTTTTTTTTGGTTTAGCAAGATTTTCCTTTTGAATATAGCTTTTTAATTGTGGACCATGGTCACACACAATAAATAAATAAATAAAGAGTTTGTACCATGCTACGTCAGAGAAAGAATTTTTGGCAATTTGGTCATTCTTGCGTCATATCTCAAACGAAAAAGAGAAGCTGTGCATTCTGCACCATACATTTTCCCAAGTTTGTCCGGCTTCCCTAAAATCAAAGAATCCCTCTTCCAAGATTACATTCTTATTTTAATTTTACCTTTTTGAGAAAAAGCCGCCAAGAATCCCAAATTACGTTTACTATGACACATTTATCTTGAACTTTTTTTCTGACATCAAAAACCTTAAATTATGCATACTGTGACACATTTATCCTAAACTTTTGTTGTGACATAAAAAACCCCCAAAGTTATATCCATGTGATACATTTACTCTTCGTTAAGGTTCCATCAAATAGTTTTTTCGCTAAGTTTTTATTTCAATCAAGCCACATGGATGCTGTCAATATCGTTTGCTTTCCAAAGTCTATGTAGACAGATTTTTAACAGTGTTCATTAACGAAAACTTGATGGAGGGTAAAAAACCTCAAATTTGTACCTATGTGACACATTTACTCTTCGTCAAGGTTTCTTTAGGCGATTTTTTCGCCAAAATTTTAATTTAATTAAGCCATGTAGGCGTCATGTCAAAACTATTTGTTTTCCAAAGTCCATATAGGCAGATTTTTAACGGTGATCATTAACGGAACCTTGACAGAGGGTAAATGTATCACACGAGTATAAGTTTTAGAATTTTTTGTCAAAAAAAGTTTAAGATAAATACGTCACAATGGACATTATTTGAAAATTTTGGTAGCCTTTTCCCCTTTTTTTAGTGGCTTTTGATTCCTTTTCTCTTTCTTTTTAAATTTTTTCCTAGGTCCTTTTCTCTTTTTCGTACAGAGCCACTTATTCCATTTGAGATATGGTGATATTAGTTGGTCATCACTACACCAATCAAAAGAAATTGGAAAAATTCCAAATAAGGACTTAAAGTGCTCTCATTTTCTCAAATAAGAACTTGAAATAGATTTTGTATTAAATAAGGACCTGAAGTGGCATGTTAGTCTTAAAAAAAGGTCTGAAGTGGTCATAAGAGTTTCAAATAAGAGCCTGATCTTGCCGGTCGCCGGTTGGTGAAATATTCCGACCAGTCAAGAGCATTTTCTTCTAAAGACAATTTTTATTTTCATTTATTTCTTTTTTCCTTTTCTTTCTTTCTTTTTTTCTTTCTTTTTTTTCCTTTTCTCTTTTTGTTCTTCGCCGGTGGCCAGCAATTTTTGAATTCTTTCCCTTTATGAGTGATTTCAGTTCCTGGCCTTTGCGTGTGACTTCCACGATCTATCTTCTTCTTTCGTGAGTTCTTTCCTTCGTAGTTTTGCCACCATTCTTTTCAGTCTTGTAATAACCATTGCCTTGATGTGAAATAGCCTAGCTTAGGGTGGAATTCCTTCTTTGAAGACTTAGGGCGCGTTTGGTAACGTTTCTACTTCTTTATTTTTCTGTTCTTCTGTTCCTTGGAACAAAAAAAGAACAGAAATCTGTTTGGTAACGCATTTTATTTTTCTATTTCTTGGAATAGAAAAATGGCCAAGAAATAGATTTGGAACAGAAATAAGAAGTAGATTTTTTCTATTTCTTTGTTCCCAGAAACAAAAAAAGAAATAGAAAGGTCTGGTCCTCAAGCCGCGACCTCAGCTCCTCCTCCATCCTTCGTCATCTGTAGACTGTCTCAAAGCACCGGTCCGGTCCATTCCCGGCGGGAATAATAATAAAAAAATTCATAAAAAAAGTTAAAAATTCCCAAAATTCCAAAAATTCATAAAAATCAGAAAAATTCTCAGAAAATCCATAAAAATAAGGAAAACTCAGAAAACCCATAAAAATTTGCAAAACTCTGAAACTGAAAAAATTAAAAAATTTTATAAAAAATTTTCTGGAAAATAAAAAGAGAGATTTTGGGAAAGTAAAAAATTTTAATAAAATTTTCCCCAAAAAAAATCAAAAATAAAAAATTCACAAAATGGCTTAGAATAAATTAAAAAATTTCGAAAATTCATAAAAATTAGAAAAATTTCAGAAAAATCCCTAAAAAAATTAGAAAATTAAAAAATTCCAAAATATCAGAAAATTTCTCAGAAAATCCATAAAAGTAAGAAAAACTAAGAAAACCCATAAAAATTTGCAAAATTCCGAAATTGAAAAAATTAAAAAAAATTTCATAAAAAAGTTTCCCGAAAATAAAAAGAAACAGATTTAGGGAAAGTAAAAAATTTTAATAAATTTTAATAAATTTTACCCCAAAAAATAAAAAAAAATTCACAAAATGGCTTAGAATACCTGTGGCCACCCACTTTGAGTGAAATTTAAATTTTTTTAGGTGCCCAAGTGGTATTTTTTAAGATTCCTTAATTTAGGGATTAAAAGGGGTTTTAAACCCCTAAAAAGGATTAGAAAAACCAATAAATCATGCTTATTGGTTTTTTCACTTATAACTTGTACTTATAGTTAAATAAAAGATATAGATTTGAATGCAAAAAATTGGGAATAGAAATTTTTTTGGTTGTACCAAACACATTTCTGTTCTTTTTTTATTCCAGGAATAGAAATTTTGTACAGTTACCAAACGCATTTTTTTGCTCAAAAACTCATCCAGAAAATAGAAATAGAAAAAACTATTTCTGAAAAGAAATTGTTCTCAGAAATAGAAACATTACCAAACGCGCCCTTAGTCAAAACCCCTCCTGAAGTTGTCTTCATTTTCGATTCCTTATCGATTTCAAGTGTTGGAAGTGGTGTGGTGGAGCAAGGTCCTTTTCTTTGAATTGTTGAAATTCCCCCCCCCCCCCTTGAGAAGGGCTGGTTGGGCGAGGCGACTCTCGCCCAGATCTAGCGAGGTCATCCCTCACCTGTTGCCGGTGAGGGTGGCCCTCGCCAGATCGGGCAAGGGCGACCCTCGCCAACCCAACCCTTCCCGGGCTTTGTTGGTGGCTAGCCATCGGCTAAGAACAAAAAGAAACCCAAAAAAGAAAAAAGGAAAAACGAAAGAAAAAAAGGAAAAAAATTCAAAAAAAGTTAAAAGACAAAAATGCCCTTACCATCCAAAAAGTCAGGCCCTTCTTTGAAACAAACATAGCTATTACAGGCTATTATTTGAAACAAAATCCACTCCATGCACTTATTTGAGAAAATGATGGCACTTTAGGCCATTGTTTGACATAAAGTCCACTTTAGGCTCTTATTTGAGAAAGCTCTTCAGGCCCTTATTTGAAATTTTCCCAAAAGAAATTACTAGGACATCTCCACTTAAATTTGATCGACGTAACTAATAAAACAAAAAAGAAAAAACAAAACTTGCAAATTTACGCAGTGAGGATGTGATCAAGTGCAAAATATTGTAAAATATGTTTTCTTTTATTTTACAATATTCTATAAAAATTTGTTACGTTTGATCTAATCAAGTACACATGATGTCATAAAATGTATTTCTGTGTAATTTTACAACATCGCACCACCATTACGTCATTTTGTTATAACCGATATTATAAAGTATGAGAGAATATGATTTTTTGATATTACGATTATGATGGTATACAAAGAATTTCCGACATTACAGCATAAGTGCAATATGTTGGGGCTAACAATACAACCTAAGAGGGGGTGAATAAATTGTTTGAGAACTATGAAAAACATTTGCGGAATATAACAAATTCAACTTCAAACAGTGGCAAAAACAGTTTGTAGAAATCGGGTAAATGCTGCTTTTTGCCAAATCGTGATAATAAAGATCAAGTAATGCTAATAATAAAGAGATAGAAGATTTGCAAGTAGATATATAGTGGTTCGGCTTTATCCCTAAGCCTACATCCACTCTCCAGACTAACAGCCGCAATACGGGCTGG